CATCCCAGGTTAAAATTATTCCAAGGCAGAAAACTAGAAACCTTTTATCAATCACTGGTCACTCCTAACATTAAAAAGAGCCGCTGAGATTTTAATTCTGGTTCTAAGAACAATTGCCGTGGCTAAATTTACGCCAGGCAGAAAACTATAATATCTATTATAAATCACCGGCACACTTAGCATTAAAAAGGGCCGTTAAGAGGTTTTCTGGTTCTAAGAACCAACATCATGCCTAAATTAAGCCAGGCAAGAAATCTACTCAGGATTTCATGGGCCACATCTAGAATTAAAAAGGGCCACACAGATTGAATTTTCAGTTTGAGGACCTAATGTCTCACCCTAGCAAAAGAGTAGTTATTAATTTATTGAAATGGCAATAACTTGTATTAAAGTGCATCACCATGTTTACTTTTAGTTCTAATATATCTGGCTGCTTACTGATATTATTTCTAAGAATTTGGAGGAGGAGGACTGGTGAGCCAAAATGATTCCAGTTTGAGACACATTTGGGGATCTCAGGGACTGGGAGAGCCTTCTCTCTGGGCGCTCTGGAACTCTTCCAGTGTGATTCGCCCTCACCGCCCGCTCAGGGACTGGAAGACCTCCTCCACCGGGAGGCGCCGTGGCATTTTCACCATCATTTGAGCGCAGATGGAATCAGGAGTAGGGCATCTCCTTTGACTCACTTGTTTCACGGACTGCACTGAGAATGGGCGCCACTGGCCATGTGTTTGATTGACTCAATGGGAAAAGTAAGGAGGGAGGTGATCCAAAAGGATTCATTTCCAGTTTGAGACTCATTGGGGATCCTCAGGGACTGGGAGAGCCTTCTCTCTGAGTGCTCTGGACTCTTCCAGTTTGATCCGCCCTCACCGCCCGCTCAGTGACTGGAAGGCCTCGTTCACCTGGGGCGCCGTAGCATTTCCACCATCATGCGTGGGTGTCTGGTATGAGTCAAAATGGCCTCGGAAACAGTGCAGCCTTTCTCCCAAGAAATGCCCCAACTCATCTGTGCTCATGCATGAACGTAGGTAGGTTACGAATGTGAAGGAGGAGGACTGGTAAGCCAAAATGATTCCAGTTTGAGACTCATTGGGGATCTCAGGGACTGGGAGAGCCTTCTCTCTGGGCGCTCTGGACTCTTCCAGTGTGATTCGCCCTCACCGCCCGCTCAGGGACTGGAAGACCTCCTCCACCGGGAGGCGCCGTAGCATTTCCACCATCATTTGAGCGCAGATGGAATCAGGAGTAGGGCATCTCCTTTGACTCACTTGTTTCATGGACTGCACTGAGAATGGGCGCCACTGGCCATGTGTTTACATTTGATCGACTCAATGGATAAAGTAAGGAGGGAGGTGATCCAAAAGGATTCCTTTCCAGTTTGAGACTCATTGGGGATCCTCAGGGACTGGGAGAGCTTTCTCTCTGAGTGCTCTGGACTCTTCCAGTTTGATCCGCCCTCACCGCCCGCTCAGTGACTGGAAGGCCTCGTCCACCTGGGGCGCCGTAGCATTTCCACCATCATGCGTGGGTGTCTGGTATGAGTCAAAATGGCCTCGGAAACAGTGCAGCCTTTCTCCCAAGAAATGCCCCAACTCATCTGTGCTCATGCATGAACATAGGTAGCTTACGAATGTGAAGGAGGAGGACTGGTGAGCCAAAATGATTCCAGTTTGAGACTCATTGGGGATCCTCAGGGACTGGGAGAGCCTTCTCTCTGGGCGCTCTGGACTCTTCCAGTGTGATTCACCTTACCGCCCGCTCAGGGACTGGAAGACCTCCTCCACCGGGAGGCGCCGTGGCATTTCCACCATCATTTGAGCGCAGATGGAATCAGGAGTAGGGCATCTCCTTTGACTCACTTGTTTCACGGACTGCACTGAGAATGGGCGCCACTGGCCATGTGTTTGATTGACTCAATGGGAAAAGTAAGGAGGGAGGTGATCCAAAAGGATTCCTTTCCAGTTTGAGACTCATTGGGGATCCTCAGAGACTGGGAGAGCCTTCTCTCTGAGCGCTCTGGACTCTTCCAGTTTGATTTGCTCTCACTGCCCGCTCAGTGACTGGAAGGCCTCGTCCTCCCGGGCGCCGTAGCATTTCCACCATCATGCGTGGGTGTCTGGTATGAGTCAAAATGGCCTCGGAAACAGTGCAGCCTTTCTCCCAAGAAATGCCCCAACTCATCTGTGCTCATGCATGAACATAGGTAGTCTACGAATGTGGAGGAGGAGGACCGGTGAGCCAGAGGGATTCCTTTCCAGTTTGAGACTCATTTGGGATCCTCGGGGACTGGGAGAGCCTTCTGTCTGGGCGCTCTTACTCTTCCAGCTCACCCTCACCGCCCGCTCAGGGACTGAAAGGGTCACCCAATGGAGCTCCAGAGTGATTTCCAGTGTGAGTCTCACAGAGGGTGCGCTCAGGGACTGGAAGACCTATACAAATGGGTCATCCCTATCTTTTCCATGCTGTGTTGGTATGTAACCATGTAACTTTGGGGGCACTATCAAATTCTAAGATCCACAGCTATGGTTAACATTACACCATAATAGAAAAATAATTACTAGTTTAATAATCACTGCCCACACCTAGTATTAAAAAGGGACAGAGACATTCTTCTTGGTTTTAAGAACCATTGCCGGGTCTAAAAGTAAGGAGGCAAGCAAACTATGGAATCTTATAAATGTCATAGAACACACAGATTTAAAAAGGGTAATTGACATTTTCTTTCTGCTTCTAAAAACCACTGCAATGGGTAAAACTACGCCAGAGAATAAAACTAGAAATTCTATTATCTATCAACAGCCACAGATAGCATTAAAATGTTATGATATTAAATATTACAATCTCCATAATGTCTGGTATGATGTGTTAATGAAAGTGACTTACAGTTTCAGAAATTTTTCAACAATTCACTCTTGATTTACTTGAAGTATTATTGGCCGTGCAAAACATTAAAAAGGGCCATTGAGGTTTTCTTTCTGGTTCTAAGAACCACTGCCAGGGCTAAAATTATGCCAGGCAAGAAAGCTATGAAATCTATTATCAATCACAGGCCATACCTAGCATTAAAAATGGCCATTAAGTTTTCCTTTCTGGTTCTAAGAACCAGTGCCAGGGCTAAATTTATGCCAGGCAAGAAAGCTATGAAATCTATTATCAATCACAGGCCATATCTAGCATTAAAAAAGGCCATTGAGTTTTCCTTTCTGGTTCTAAGAACCAGTGCCAGGGCTAAAATTATGCCAGGCATAAAATATATAAAATATATTATAGATCACCAGCCACATCTAGCATTAAAAATGGCAGTTGAGGTTTTTTTGGGTTCTAAAAACCATCGCCATGGCTAAAATTACGCCAGGCAAGAACACTCTCAAGTCCATTATTTTTCATTGGCCATACCAAACATTAAAAATGGCCATTGAGATTTTCTGGTTCTAAGAACCATTGCCTTAGCTAACGTAATGCCAGGCAGAAAAGTATAAAGTCTATAATCGATCAACAGCCACACCTAGCATTAAACAGGCCGTTGAGGTTTCATTCAGGTTCAAAGAACCGTCACCCTCCTGGCTAAAGTGATGCCAGGCAGAAATCTCTAAACTCTATAATTGATCAACAGCCAAGCCTAGCCTTTTAAGAGGCCACTGAAGTTTCATTTCTGGTTCTAAGAACCATCGCCATGCTAAAATTATGGCAGGCAAAAATCTGTAAAATCTATAATCGTTCAACAGCCACAACTGGCATTAAAAAGGGCCGTTGAAGTTTCTTTTCCGGTTCTAAAAATCATTCTGGAGGCTAAATTTACGCCAGGCCAGAAAGGTATAAAATCTAGTATCTACAGTTTGATTTACTTGGTGAAGTCGTCTTTTTCATGAAGATCATGTTCATTCTTGATTTCCGTTCCTTCTTCTTCCATTTTCATCCACAACACTGCAGGCTGACGAATGAACCTTCTGTCTTCTAAGATGCTGTAGTAGATGGTTTTGAGATAAAAACAACAACATTATTTCAACTGCCGTCCTAAGAATGCACAATGCACTATGATTACTATTACTATTACCTCAGAGGCAGGTGTTACCCTTACTGACCTAGCAAGAACTGAAAGGCCATCCACTTCCCTCCATTATCCCAAAACTTTGAAGAAGACAAGTCACAAAGGCTTACCTCACAGCGCATAAGGCCACATCACAGCCAAAGGCTAACAGAGCTGGAGCTTCAGACGTTTTCTTGAACTCTTCTTTCTTCCTTCTTTTTTCTTCTTTCGCTTTCCTTTCTTCCTGAGTCGTGCCCAGGAAGCGTTGTCTCTTTCGAGGAACATTTTGGCAGCAAGAGTGCAATTGTTCCTCCCCTGAGTTTCTAAAGCTACAAAGCTATAAAATCTTTTGTGGATCAATGGCCACATCTAGCATTAGAAAAGTGCCATTGAGGTTCCCTTTCCAGTTCTAAGAACCAGTGCCAGGGCTAAAATTATGCCAGGCAGGAAAGCTATGAAATCTATTATCAATCACAGGCCATACCTAGCATTAAAAATGGCCATTAAGTTTTCCTTTCTGGTTCTAAGAACCACTGCCAGGGCTAAAATTATGCCAGGCAAGAAAGCTATGAAATCTATTATCAATCACAGGCCATACCTAGCATTAAAAATGGCCATTAAGTTTTCCTTTCTGGTTCTAAGAAACACTGCCAGGGCTAAAATTATGCCAGGCAAGAAAGCTATGAAATCTATTATCAATCACAGGCCATATCTAGCATTAAAAATGGCCATTAAGTTTTCCTTTCTGGTTCTAAGAACCAGTGCCAGGGCTAAAATTATGCCAGGCAAGAAAGCTATGAAATCTATTATCAATCACAGGCCATATCTAGCATTAAAAATGGCCATTGAGTTTTCCTTTCTGGTTCTAAGAACCAGTGCCAGGGCTAAAATTATGCCAGGCATAAAATATATAAAATATATTACAGATCACCAGCCACATCTAGCATTAAAATGGCAGTTGAGGTTTTTTGGGTTCTAAAAACCATCGCCATGGCTAAAATTATGCCAGGCAAGAACACTCTCAAGTCCATTATTTTTCATTGGCCATACCAAACATTAAAAATGGCCATTGAGATTTTCTGGTTCTAAGAACCATTGCCTTAGCTAACGTAATGCCAGGCAGAAATCTATAAAGTCTATAATCGATCAACAGCCAAGCCTAGCCTTTTAAGAGGCCACTGAAGTTTCATTTCTGGTTCTAAGAACCATCGCCATGCTAAAATTATGGCAGGCAAAAATCTGTAAAATCTATAATCGTTCAACAGCCACAACTGGCATTAAAAAGGGCCGTTGAAGTTTCCTTTCCGGTTCTAAGAATCATTCTGGCGGCTAAATTTATGCCAGGCCAGAAAGGTATAAAATCTAGTATCTACAGTTTTGATTTACTTGGTGAAGTCGTCTTTTTCATGAAGATCATGTTCATTCTTGATTTCCGTTCCTTCTTCTTCCATTTTCATCCTCAACACTGCAGGCTGAGGAATGAATCTTCTGTCTTCTAAGATGCTGTAGTAGATGCTCTTGAGATAAAAACAACATTATTTCAACTGCCGTCCTAAGATTGCACAATCCACTATGATTACTATTACTATTACCTCAGAGGCAGGTGTTACCCTTACTGACCTAGCAAGAACTGAAAGGCCATCCACTTCCCTCCATTATCCCAAAACTTTGAAGAAGACAAGTCACAAAGGCTTACCTCACAGCGCATAAGGCCACATCACAGCCAAAGGCTAACAGAGCTGGAGCTTCAGACGTTTTCTTGAACTCTTCTTTCTTCCTTCTTTTTTCTTCTTTCGCTTTCCTTTCTTCCTGAGTCGTGCCCAGGAAGCGTTGTCTCTTTCGAGGAACATTTGGCAGCAAGAGTGCAATTGTTCCTCCCCTGAGTTTCTAAAGCTACAAAGCTATAAAATCTTTTGTGGATCAATGGCCACATCTAGCATTAGAAAAGTGCCATTGAGGTTCCCTTTCCAGTTCTAAGAACCAGTGCCAGGGCTAAAATTATGCCAGGCAGGAAAGCTATGAAATCTATTATCAATCACAGGCCATACCTAGCATTAAAAATGGCCATTAAGTTTTCCTTTCTGGTTCTAAGAACCACTGCCAGGGCTAAAATTATGCCAGGCAAGAAAGCTATGAAATCTATTATCAATCACAGGCCATATCTAGCATTAAAAATGGCCATTAAGTTTTCCTTTCTGGTTCTAAGAACCAGTGCCAGGGCTAAAATTATGCCAGGCAAGAAAGCTATGAAATCTATTATCAATCACAGGCCATATCTAGCATTAAAAATGGCCATTGAGTTTTCCTTTCTGGTTCTAAGAACCAGTGCCAGGGCTAAAATTATGCCAGGCATAAAATATATAAAATATATTACAGATCACCAGCCACATCTAGCATTAAAAATGGCAGTTGAGGTTTTTTTGGGTTCTAAAAACCATCACCATGGCTAAAATTATGCCAGGCAAGAACACTCTCAAGTCCATTATTTTTCATTGGCCATACCAAACATTAAAAATAGCCATTGAGATTTTCTGGTTCTAAGAACCATTGCCTTAGCTAACGTAATGCCAGGCAGAAATCTATAAAGTCTATAATCGATCAACAGCCACACCTAGCATTAAACAGGCCGTTGAGGTTTTCATTCAGGTTCAAAGAACCGTCACCCTCCTGGCTAAAGTGATGCCAGGCAGAAATCTCTAAACTCTATAATTGATCAACAGCCAAGCCTAGCCTTTTAAGAGGCCACTGAAGTTTCATTTCTGGTTCTAAGAACCATCGCCATGCTAAAATTATGGCAGGCAAAAATCTGTAAAATCTATAATCGTTCAACAGCCACAACTGGCATTAAAAAGGGCCGTTGAAGTTTCTTTTCCGGTTCTAAAAATCATTCTGGAGGCTAAATTTACGCCAGGCCAGAAAGGTATCTACAGTTTTGATTTACTTGGTGAAGTCGTCTTTTTCATGAAGATCATGTTCATTCTTGATTTCCGTTCCTTCTTCTTCCATTTTCATCCTCAACACTGCAGGCTGAGGAATGAATCTTCTGTCTTCTAAGATGCTGTAGTAAATGCTCTTGAGATAAAAACAACAACATTATTTCAACTGCCGTCCTAAGATTGCACAATCCACTATGATTACTATTACTATTACCTCAGAGGCAGGTGTTACCCTTACTGACCTAGCAAGAACGGAAAGGCCATCCACTTCCTCCATTATCCCAAAACTTTGAAGAAGACAAATCACAAAGGCTTACCTCACAGTGCATAAGGCCACATCACAGCCAAAGGCTAACAGAGCTGGAGCTTCAGACGTTTCCTTGAACTCTTCTTTCTTCCTTCTTTTTTCTTCTTTCGCTTTCCTTTCTTCCTGAGTCGTGCCCAGGAAGCGTTGTCTTTTTCGAGGAACATTTGGCAGCAAGAGTGCAATTGTTCCTCCCCTGAGTTTCTAAAGCTACAAAGCTATAAAATCTTTTGTGGATCAATGGCCACATCTAGCATTAGAAAAGTGCCATTGAGGTTGCCTTTCCAGTTCTAAGAACCAGTGCCAGGGCTAAAATTACGCCAGGCAAGAAAGCTATGAAATCTATTAATCATTGGCCATGCAAAATATTAAAAGGGCCATTGAGGTTTTATTTCTGGTTCTAAGAACCACTGCCAGGGCTAAAATTATGCCAGGCAAGAAAGCTATGAAATCTATTATCAATCACAGGCCATACCTAGCATTAAAAATGGCCATTAAGTTTTCCTTTCTGGTTCTAAGAACCACTGCCAGGGCTAAAATTATGCCAGGCAAGAAAGCTATGAAATCTATTATCAATCACAGGCCATACCTAGCATTAAAAATGGCCATTAAGTTTTCCTTTCTGGTTCTAAGAACCAGTGCCAGGGCTAAATTTATGCCAGGCAAGAAAGCTATGAAATCTATTATCAATCACAGGCCATATCTAGCATTAAAAATGGCCATTAAGTTTTCCTTTCTGGTTCTAAGAACCAGTGCCAGGGCTAAAATTATGCCAGGCATAAAATATATAAAATATATTATAGATCACCAGCCACATCTAGCATTAAAAATGGCAGTTGAGGTTTTTTTGGGTTCTAAAAACCATCGCCATGGCTAAAATTATGCCAGGCAAGAACACTCTCAAGTCCATTATTTTTCATTGGCCATACCAAACATTAAAAATAGCCATTGAGATTTTCTGGTTCTAAGAACCATTGCCTTAGCTAACGTAATGCCAGGCAGAAATCTATAAAGTCTATAATCGATCAACAGCCACACCTAGCATTAAACAGGCCGTTGAGGTTTTCATTCAGGTTCAAAGAACCGTCACCCTCCTGGCTAAAGTGATGCCAGGCAGAAATCTCTAAACTCTATAATTGATCAACAGCCAAGCCTAGCCTTTTAAGAGGCCACTGAAGTTTCATTTCTGGTTCTAAGAACCATCGCCATGCTAAAATTATGGCAGGCAAAAATCTGTAAAATCTATAATCGTTCAACAGCCACAACTGGCATTAAAAAGGGCCGTTGAAGTTTCTTTTCCGGTTCTAAAAATCATTCTGGAGGCTAAATTTACGCCAGGCCAGAAAGGTATAAAATCTAGTATCTACAGTTTTGATTTACTTGGTGAAGTCGTCTTTTTCATGAAGATCATGTTCATTCTTGATTTCCGTTCCTTCTTCTTCCATTTTCATCCACAACACTGCAGGCTGACGAATGAACCTTCTGTCTTCTAAGATGCTGTAGTAGATGCTTTTGAGATAAAAACAACAACATTATTTCAACTGCCGTCCTAAGAATGCACAATGCACTATGATTACTATTACTATTACCTCAGAGGCAGGTGTTACCCTTACTGACCTAGCAAGAACTGAAAGGCCATCCACTTCCCTCCATTATCCCAAAACTTTGAAGAAGACAAGTCACAAAGGCTTACCTCACAGCGCATAAGGCCACATCACAGCCAAAGGCTAACAGAGCTGGAGCTTCAGACGTTTTCTTGAACTCTTCTTTCTTCCTTCTTTTTTCTTCTTTCGCTTTCCTTTCTTCCTGAGTCGTGCCCAGGAAGCGTTGTCTCTTTCGAGGAACATTTGGCAGCAAGAGTGCAATTGTTCCTCCCCTGAGTTTCTACAGCTACAAAGCTATAAAATCTTTTGTGGATCAATGGCCACATCTAGCATTAGAAAAGTGCCATTGAGGTTGCCTTTCCAGTTCTAAGAACCAGTGCCAGGGCTAAAATTATGCCAGGCAAGAAAGCTATGAAATCTATTAATCATTGGCCATGCAAAATATTAAAAGGGCCATTGAGGTTTTCTTTCTGGTTCTAAGAACCACTGCCAGGCTAAAATTATGCCAGGCAAGAAAGCTATGAAATCTATTATCAATCACAGGCCATACCTAGCATTAAAAATGGCCATTAAGTTTTCCTTTCTGGTTCTAAGAACCACTGCCAGGGCTAAAATTATGCCAGGCAAGAAAGCTATGAAATCTATTATCAATCACAGGCCATATCTAGCATTAAAAAAGGCCATTGAGTTTTCCTTTCTGGTTCTAAGAACCAGTGCCAGGGCTAAAATTATGCCAGGCATAAAATATATAAAATATATTACAGATCACCAGCCACATCTAGCATTAAAAATGGCAGTTGAGGTTTTTTTGGGTTCTAAAAACCATCACCATGGCTAAAATTATGCCAGGCAAGAACACTCTCAAGTCCATTATTTTTCATTGGCCATACCAAACATTAAAAATAGCCATTGAGATTTTCTGGTTCTAAGAACCATTGCCTTAGCTAACGTAATGCCAGGCAGAAATCTATAAAGTCTATAATCGATCAACAGCCACACCTAGCATTAAACAGGCTGTTGAGGTTTTCATTCAGGTTCAAAGAACCGTCACCCTCCTGGCTAAAGTGATGCCAGGCAGAAATCTCTAAACTCTATAATTGATCAACAGCCAAGCCTAGCCTTTTAAGAGGCCACTGAAGTTTCATTTCTGGTTCTAAGAACCATCGCCATGCTAAAATTATGGCAGGCAAAAATCTGTAAAATCTATAATCGTTCAACAGCCACAACTGGCATTAAAAAGGGCCGTTGAAGTTTCTTTTCCGGTTCTAAAATCATTCTGGAGGCTAAATTTACGCCAGGCCAGAAAGGTATAAAATCTAGTATCTACAGTTTTGATTTACTTGGTGAAGTCGTCTTTTTCATGAAGATCATGTTCATTCTTGATTTCCGTTCCTTCTTCTTCCATTTTCATCCTCAACACTGCAGGCTGAGGAATGAATCTTCTGTCTTCTAAGATGCTGTAGTAAACGCTCTTGAGATAAAAACAACAACATTATTTCAACTGCCGTCCTAAGATTGCACAATCCACTATGATTACTATTACTATTACCTCAGAGGCAGGTGTTACCCTTACTGACCTAGCAAGAACTGAAAGGCCATCCACTTCCCTCCATTATCCCAAAACTTTGAAGAAGACAAATCACAAAGGCTTACCTCACAGCGCATAAGGCCACATCACAGCCAAAGGCTAACAGAGCTGGAGCTTCAGACGTTTCCTTGAACTCTTCTTTCTTCCTTCTTTTTTCTTCTTTCGCTTTCCTTTCTTCCTGAGTCGTGCCCAGGAAGCGTTGTCTCTTTCGAGGAACATTTGGCAGCAAGAGTGCAATTGTTCCTCCCCTGAGTTTCTAAAGCTACAAAGCTATAAAATCTTTTGTGGATCAATGGCCACATCTAGCATTAGAAAAGTGCCATTGAGGTTGCCTTTCCAGTTCTAAGAACCAGTGCCAGGGCTAAAATTATGCCAGGCAAGAAAGCTATGAAATCTATTAATCATTGGCCATGCAAAATATTAAAAGGGCCATTGAGGTTTTCTTTCTGGTTCTAAGAACCACTGCCAGGGCTAAAATTATGCCAGGCAAGAAAGCTATGAAATCTATTATCAATCACAGGCCATACCTAGCATTAAAAATGGCCATTAAGTTTTCCTTTCTGGTTCTAAGAACCACTGCCAGGGCTAAAATTATGCCAGGCAAGAAAGCTATGAAATCTATTATCAATCACAGGCCATATCTAGCATTAAAAATGGCCATTAAGTTTTCCTTTCTGGTTCTAAGAACCAGTGCCAGGGCTAAATTTATGCCAGGCAAGAAAGCTATGAAATCTATTATCAATCACAGGCCATACCTAGCATTAAAAATGGCCATTAAGTTTTCCTTTCTGGTTCTAAGAACAGTGCCAGGGCTAAAATTATGCCAGGCAAGAAAGCTATGAAATCTATTATCAATCACAGGCCATATCTAGCATTAAAAATGGCCATTAAGTTTTCCTTTCTGGTTCTAAGAACCAGTGCCAGGGCTAAAATTATGCCAGGCATAAAATATATAAAATATATTATAGATCACCAGCCACATCTAGCATTAAAAATGGCAGTTGAGGTTTTTTTGGGTTCTAAAAACCATCGCCATGGCTAAAATTATGCCAGGCAAGAACACTCTCAAGTCCATTATTTTTCATTGGCCATACCAAACATTAAAAATAGCCATTGAGATTTTCTGGTTCTAAGAACCATTGCCTTAGCTAACGTAATGCCAGGCAGAAATCTATAAAGTCTATAATCGATCAACAGCCACACCTAGCATTAAACAGGCCGTTGAGGTTTTCATTCAGGTTCAAAGAACCGTCACCCTCCTGGCTAAAGTGATGCCAGGCAGAAATCTCTAAACTCTATAATTGATCAACAGCCAAGCCTAGCCTTTTAAGAGGCCACTGAAGTTTCATTTCTGGTTCTAAGAACCATCGCCATGCTAAAATTATGGCAGGCAAAAATCTGTAAAATCTATAATCGTTCAACAGCCACAACTGGCATTAAAAAGGGCCGTTGAAGTTTCTTTTCCGGTTCTAAAAATCATTCTGGCGGCTAAATTTACGCCAGGCCAGAAAGGTATAAAATCTAGTATCTACAGTTTTGATTTACTTGGTGAAGTCGTCTTTTTCATGAAGATCATGTTCATTCTTGATTTCCATTCCTTCTTCTTCCATTTTCACCCTCAACACTGCAGGCTGACGAATGAATCTTCTGTCTTCTAAGATGCTGTAGTAGATGCTTTTGAGATAAAAACAACAACATTATTTCAACTGCCGTCCTAAGATTGCACAATGCACTATGATTACTATTACTATTACCTCAGAGGCAGGTGTTACCCTTACTGACCTAGCAAGAACTGAAAGGCCATCCACTTCCCTCCATTATCCCAAAACTTTGAAGAAGACAAGTCACAAAGGCTTACCTCACAGCGCATAAGGCCACATCACAGCCAAAGGCTAACAGAGCTGGAGCTTCAGACGTTTTCTTGAACTCTTCTTTCTTCCTTCTTTTTTCTTCTTTCGCTTTCCTTTCTTCCTGAGTCATGCCCAGGAAGCGCTGTCTCTTTCGAGGAACATTTGGCAGCAAGAGTGCAATTGTTCCTCCCCTGAGTTTCTAAAGCTACAAAGCTATAAAATCTTTTGTGGATCAATGGCCACATCTAGCATTAGAAAAGTGCCATTGAGGTTCCCTTTCCAGTTCTAAGAACCATCGCCATGGCTAAATTACGCCAGGCAAGAACACTCTCAAATCTATTAATCATTGGCCATGCAAAACATTAAAAGGGCCATTGAGGTTTTCTTTCTGGTTCTAAGAACCAGTGCCAGGGCTAAATTTATGCCAGGCAAAAAAGATAAGTATATTACAGATCACCAGCCACATCTAGCATTAAAAATGGCAGTTGAGGTTTTTTTGGGTTCTAAGAACCATCGCCATGGCTAAAATTACGCCAGGCAAGAACACTCTCAAGTCCATTATTTTTCATTGGCCATACCAAACATTAAAAATGGCCATTGAGATTTTCTGGTTCTAAGAACCATTGCCTTAGCTAACGTAATGCCAGGCAGAAATCTATAAAGTCTATAATCGATCAACAGCCAAGCCTAGCATTTTAAAAGGGCACTGAAGTTTCATTTCTGGTTCTAAGAACCATCGCCATGCTAAAATTATGGCAGGCAAAAATCTATGAAATCTATAATCCTTCAATAGCCACAACCGGCATTAAAAAGGGCCGTTGAAGTTTCCTTTCCGGTTCTAAGAATCATTCTGGCGGCTAAATTTATGCCAGGCCAGAAAGGTATAAAATCTAGTATCTACAGTTTTGATTTACTTGGTGAAGTCGTCTTTTTCATGAAGATCATGTTCATTCTTGATTTCCGTTCCTTCTTCTTCCATTTTCATCCTCAACACTGCAGGCTGACGAATGAATCTTCTGTCTTCTAAGATGCTGTAGTAGATGCTTTTGAGATAAAAACAACAACATTATTTCAACTGCCGTCCTAAGAATGCACAATCCCCTATGATTACTATTACTATTACCTCAGAGGCAGGTGTTACCCTTACTGACCACCTAGCAAGAACGGACCGTCAAGAACTGAAAGGCCATCCACTTCCCTCCATTATCCCAAAACTTTGAAGAAGACAAGTCACAAAGGCTTACCTCACAGCGTATAAGGCCACATCACAGCCAAAGGCTAACAGAGCTGGAGCTTCAGACGTTTTCTTAAACTCTCCTTTCTTCCTTCTTTTTTCTTCTTTCGCTTTCTTTTCTTCCTGAGTCGTGCCCAGGAAGCGTTGTCTCTTTCGAGGAACATTTGGCAGCAAGAGTGCAATTGTTCCTCCCCTGAGTTTCTAAAGCTACAAAGCTATAAAATCTTTTGTGGATCAATGGCCACATCTAGCATTAGAAAAGTGCCATTGAGGTTGCCTTTCCAGTTCTAAGAACCAGTGCCAGGGCTAAAATTATGCCAGGCAAGAAAGCTATGAAATCTATTAATCATTGGCCATGCAAAATATTAAAAGGGCCATTGAGGTTTTCTTTCTGGTTCTAAGAACCACTGCCAGGGCTAAAATTATGCCAGGCAAGAAAGCTATGAAATCTATTATCAATCACAGGCCATACCTAGCATTAAAAATGGCCATTAAGTTTTCCTTTCTGGTTCTAAGAACCAGTGCCAGGGCTAAAATTATGCCAGGCATAAAATATATAAAATATATTATAGATCACCAGCCACATCTAGCATTAAAAATGGCAGTTGAGGTTTTTTTGGGTTCTAAGAACCATCGCCATGGCTAAAATTACGCCAGGCAAGAACACTCTCAAGTCCATTATTTTTCATTGGCCATACCAAACATTAAAAATAGCCATTGAGATTTTCTGGTTCTAAGAACCATTGCCTTAGCTAACGTAATGCCAGGCAGAAAAGTATAAAGTCTATAATCGATCAACAGCCACACCTAGCATTAAACAGGCCGTTGAGGTTTTCATTCAGGTTCAAAGAACCGTCACCCTCCTGGCTAAAGTGATGCCAGGCAGAAATCTCTAAACTCTATAATTGATCAACAGCCAAGCCTAGCCTTTTAAGAGGCCACTGAAGTTTCATTTCTGGTTCTAAGAACCATCGCCATGCTAAAATTATGGCAGGCAAAAATCTGTAAAATCTATAATCGTTCAACAGCCACAACTGGCATTAAAAAGGCCGTTGAAGTTTCTTTTCCGGTTCTAAAAATCATTCTGGCGGCTAAATTTACGCCAGGCCAGAAAGGTATAAAATCTAGTATCTACAGTTTTGATTTACTTGGTGAAGTCGTCTTTTTCATGAAGATCATGTTCATTCTTGATTTCCATTCCTTCTTCTTCCATTTTCACCCTCAACACTGCAGGCTGACGAATGAATCTTCTGTCTTCTAAGATGCTGTAGTAGATGCTTTTGAGATAAAAACAACAACATTATTTCAACTGCCGTCCTAAGATTGCACAATGCACTATGATTACTATTACTATTACCTCAGAGGCAGGTGTTACCCTTACTGACCTAGCAAGAACTGAAAGGCCATCCACTTCCCTCCATTATCCCAAAACTTTGAAGAAGACAAGTCACAAAGGCTTACCTCACAGCGCATAAGGCCACATCACAGCCAAAGGCTAACAGAGCGGGAGCTTCAGACGTTTTCTTGAACTCTTCTTTCTTCCTTCTTTTTTTTCTTCTTTCGCTTTCCTTTCTTCCTGAGTCATGCCCAGGAAGCGCTGTCTCTTTCGAGGAACATTTGGCAGCAAGAGTGCAATTGTTCCTCCCCTGAGTTTCTAAAGCTACAAAGCTATAAAATCTTTTGTGGATCAATGGCCACATCTAGCATTAGAAAAGTGCCATTGAGGTTCCCTTTCCAGTTCTAAGAACCATCGCCATGGCTAAATTACGCCAGGCAAGAACACTCTCAAATCTATTAATCATTGGCCATGCAAAACATTAAAAGGGCCATTGAGGTTTTCTTTCTGGTTCTAAGAACCAGTGCCAGGGCTAAATTTATGCCAGGCAAAAAAGATAAGTATATTACAGATCATCAGCCACATCTAGCATTAAAAATGGCAGTTGAGGTTTTTTTGGGTTCTAAGAACCATCGCCATGGCTAAAATTACGCCAGGCAAGAACACTCTCAAGTCCATTATTTTTCATTGGCCATACCAAACATTAAAAATGGCCATTGAGATTTTCTGGTTCTAAGAACCATTGCCTTAGCTAACGTAATGCCAGGCAGAAATCTATAAAGTCTATAATCGATCAACAGCCAAGCCTAGCATTTTAAAAGGGCACTGAAGTTTCATTTCTGGTTCTAAGAACCATCGCCATGCTAAAATTATGGCAGGCAAAAATCTATGAAATCTATAATCCTTCAATAGCCACAACCGGCATTAAAAAGGGCCGTTGAAGTTTCCTTTCCGGTTCTAAGAATCATTCTGGCGGCTAAATTTATGCCAGGCCAGAAAGGTATAAAATCTAGTATCTACAGTTTTGATTTACTTGGTGAAGTCGTCTTTTTCATGAAGATCATGTTCATTCTTGATTTCCGTTCCTTCTTCTTCATTTTCATCCTCAACACTGCAGGCTGACGAATGAATCTTCTGTCTTCTAAGATGCTGTAGTAGATGCTTTTGAGATAAAAACAACAACATTATTTCAACTGCCGTCCTAAGAATGCACAATCCCCTATGATTACTATTACTATTACCTCAGAGGCAGGTGTTACCCTTACTGACCACCTAGCAAGAACGGACCGTCAAGAACTGAAAGGCCATCCACTTCCCTCCATTATCCCAAAACTTTGAAGAAGACAAGTCACAAAGGCTTACCTCACAGCGCATAAGGCCACATCACAGCCAAAGGCTAACAGAGCTGGAGCTTCAGACGTTTTCTTAAACTCTCCTTTCTTCCTTCTTTTTTCTTCTTTCGCTTTCTTTTCTTCCTGAGTCGTGCCCAGGAAGCGTTGTCTCTTTCGAGGAACATTTGGCAGCAAGAGTGCAATTGTTCCTCCCCTGAGTTTCTAAAGCTACAAAGCTATAAAATCTTTTGTGGATCAATGGCCACATCTAGCATTAGAAAAGTGCCATTGAGGTTGCCTTTCCAGTTCTAAGAACCAGTGCCAGGGCTAAAATTATGCCAGGCAATTATGCCAGGCAAAAAAGATATAAAATATATTACAGATCACCAGCCACATCTAGCATTAAAAATGGCCACTGAGGTTTTCTTTCTGGTTCTAAGAACCATCGTGCTGGCTAAAGTTATGCCAGGCATAATCTATCAACACCCCATTCCTAGCATTAAAAAGGGCTATTGAGGTTTTCTTTCTGGTTCTAAGAACTATCACCATGGCTAAATTTACGCCAGGCAAGAAAGCTATGAAATCTATTATCAATCACTGGCCATACCTAGCATTAAAAATGGCCAATACGTATTTCTTTCTGGTTCTAATAGCCAGTTCCAGGGCTAGAATTATACCAAAAAGGTATAAAATATATTACCAATCACCAGCCATGGCTAACATTAAAAATGGCAGTTGAGGTTGTTTTGGGTTCTAAAAACCATCACGCTGGCTAAAATTACGCCAGGCAAGAACCCTCTCAAGTCCATTATTTTTCATTTGCCATACCAAACATTAAAAATGGCCATTGAGTTTTTCTGGTTCTAAGAACCATTGCCTTAGCTAAGGTGGCGCCAGGCAGAAAACTATAGCCTATAATCGATCAACAGTGACACCTAGCATTAAAAATGGCCATTGAGGTTTTCTTTCTGGTTCTAAGAAACCATTACTGTGGCTAAATTTATGCTAGGCAAGAAAGGTATGAAATTATTATCTATCACTGGCCATATCTAGCATTAAAAATGGCCATTGAGGTTTTCTTTCTGGTTCTAAGAACCACTGCCAGGGCTAAAATTATGCCAGGCAAGAAAGGTATGAAATTTATTATCTATCACTGGCCACACCTAGCATTAAAAATGTCCGTTTAGGTTTCCTTTCTGGTTCTAAGAACCATCACTGTGGCTAAATTTATGCCAGGCAAGAAAGGTATGAAATTTATTATCTATCACTGGCCACACTAGCATTAAAAATGGCCATTGAGGTTTTCTTTCTGGTTCTAAGAACCATCACTGTGGCTAAATTTATGCCAGGCAAGGAAGGTATGAAATCTATTATCTATCACCGGCCATACCTAGCATTAAAAATGGCCATTGAGGTTTTCTTTCTGGTTCTAAGAACCATCACTGTGGCTAAATTTATGCCAGGCAAGAAAGGTATGAAATTTATTATCTATCACTGGCCACACTAGCATTAAAAATGGCCATTGAAGTTTTCTTTCTGGTTCTAAGAACCATCACTGTGGCTAAATTTATGCCAGGCAAGGAAGGTATGAAATCTATTATCTATCACTGGCCACACTAGCATTAAAAAGGCCATTGAGGTTTTCTTTCTGGTTCTAAGAACCATCACTGTGGCTACAATTATGCCAGATAAATCTATTATCATTGTTTTGCTTTCTGGTTCTAAGAAGCATCACCATGGCTAGTGATGCCAGGCAGAAATCTCTAAACTCTATAATTTTTTATTTATTTATTTTATTTTATTTCTATACCGCCCTACTCCCGAAGGACTCAGGGCGGTGCACAGCCAAACAATAAAATACATACATACAAAATTTAAAAGTGGAATTAAAATCAAATTAAATAGTTTTGGGTTATGGTTAGGGTTAGGGTTAGGGTTAATGATGATAGCTACACAAGATACACTGAAAGCGGCAAATGTTACAGGTTATACATTGTTTCACCCTGTGTCCTTGTACATGCTAGAAACACTGCTCAAACATGAGAATTGCTGATGTTTGCAATTTCGTGTAACTGCACTTCCAAAAACCATACAGGTGAGCATTGTAATAACCCTACAATGCCCTAATCAAGGAACTTCCAAAGAACCTAACAAGAAATAGTGCCACAAATAGTCTCCTTTAATGGTATACCTCGTATCAAATTGTATCACCAGGTTCATTTTCAGTTCTAAGAAGTCTGGCTGGCACTGGCATTATTTCTAAGGGTTTGAAGGTGGGAGGGAGGTGATCCCAAATGATTCCCTTGCAGTCTGAGTCTCACTGAGGGGGTCCTCACGCACTGGAGGAGGCTTCTAGCTGAGCGCTGTTGTCTCTTCCAATGTGATTCACCCTCACTGCTTGCTCAGGGACTGAAAGGGTCCCCCAGGGCAACCCCAGAGAGGACTTCCAGTGTGAGTCTCCCAGTTTCTGCTCACAGACTCAATGAGACAGGTAGCGCTCCCAGGCTCATTCAGTGTGAGCGTCAAGAGTGGAAGTTCAGGGACTGAAAGACCTCTATAAGTAGGGGCATAACCCCCATCTCCAGGCTGTGTTTATATGTGGAATGCTTGTGCGGGCCTCTCTGGTTCTAAGAATCAGAGCCAATATCCAATATTATGTTGCATCAGAAATGTTTTGATACTTATGTAGTTTGTTACATATGTTGTGATACTTTGTAATGTTTTTTTAAAATCTTTGCTAAAGCAAGCCTTAGAGTAAACTTTAGCAAGGCCCAAAGATTTTTGCAGTAATAAACATGTTGCAAACAGTACCTGCCAGGCTTCCTCACTTTCATTACTGGTATATATTGGAGAGTGAATGAAACCATCTGTCTTACTGTTGATGTCTTCTTCTTCGTCTAGTTTGGATTCATGCCTTTGAGATAAAAAAGATCAATGTCACGAAATGACCAACTAATGTTCAGAGACTAGAAAACCAATCAAGTAATTTTACAAAGGGGCTTTTATATGCTTTATCCTACAAGTGAAAGAAAGCATGATAGAATGAATTGGAACCTTGTGCCCTTGAGAATATCTCAGACCACAGGTTTTACTGTTCCTACTGTAAAGGCCTCTAATCCCAGCAGTTTCTCTTACTCTCGGGGAACAGGAAGCATCCCTAAAATTGCCTCATGTCTTGAGAGTTTACCTTCCTCCAAGAAAGTAAGGTTAGCTCCTGGACTTGAAGTAATTTTAGTTAAGTTTAACTATTAGATACTTGAAGTAGCTAGTCCTGTTACAAGTTTTGCTTCTTTTAAGGACTTGAGCCTTGGTTAAAATTACCTCAGGCGCCAAGAATTCACTGTATTCATGAGACCATTGTCAGCTCCTGAGGCAATTTTACCTTTTAAAGCTAATGTTAACTCTTACTCGCCTAGGGTAGTTTAGTCCCTTTAATATGGCTGAGATTACTCAGGTTCCACCAGTCTTTTACTCTTAAGAGTAAAAGCCTTGGCTAAAGAGTTTGAGCCTTGACTAAAATTACCTCAGTCCTGAAGAGCTCACTTTATTTCAAGAAAGTTAATTCATGGACCTGAAGCAATTTTAGTTAATTTTTTGCCTTTAGTTACTTGAAGTAACTAGTCCTATACATATTTGCTTCTTTTAAGGACTTGAGCCTTGACTAAAATTTCCTCAGATCCCATGAGTTGACTTTACTCAAGAAACCAAGGGCAACTCCAGGTACTGAAGCAATTTTGCCTTTAAGCTATGTAATTAAACTAATTAAGCTAATGCACCTTGCTAAAATTGCCTCAGCCTTATTCCTCAGAGTCAAATCAATGCCTAACTCCTGGGCCCTGAAGTAATTTTAATTAACTTTCCCCTGCATTTACTTACAGTACTCTTTAGTCTGCAAGGACATGGCTATTATTACCTCAGACTTTATTCCAAAGCTAATTTAACTCTTATTCACCTGTGGTGGTTCGGTCCTTTTAAAAGGACATGGCTGAAATTACCTCAGGTTCCATCAGTATTTTACTCTAAGAACTTGAGCCTCGGCTAAAATTACCTCAGGCCTCAAGAATTCACTTTATTCCTGAGAGCATTGTCAGTTCCTGAGGCAATTTTACCTTTTAAAGCTAATTTTAACTCGTATTCACCTGTGGTGGTTCAGTCCACCAGTCCTTTTAAAAGGATATAGCTGAGAGTACCTCAGGTTCCACCAGTCTTTTAGACCACTCTAAGAACTTGAGCCCTGGCTAAAATTTCCTCAAGAACTGACTTTATTTGAAGAAAGTGAGCTCAATTCCTGGACCTGAAGCAATTTTTGTTAATTTTTGCCTTTAGTTACTTGAAGTAACTAGTCCTGTACATCTTTTGCTACTTTTAAGAACTTGAGTCTTGATTAAAATTTCCTCAAGTCCCAAGAGTTGACTTTATTCAAGAAAGTAAGGGAACCTCCAGGTGCTGAAGCAATTTTGCCTTTAAGATAATTTTAATGCTTGTTCACCTGTGGTAGTCTAGCCCTTTTAACTGCACCTGGCTAAAATTGCCTCAGCCTTAATCCTCAGAGTCAAATCAGCTGCTGAAGTAATTTTAATTAACTTTCCCCTCCACTTACTTGCAGTGCTTTTTTTTAAAAATCTGCAAGAATATGGCTATTATTACCTCAGACTTTACTCCAAAAAGCTCATTTTAACTCTTATTCACCTATGGTGGTTTGGTCCTTTTAAAAGGACATGGCTGAGATTACCTCAGGTTCCACCTGTCTTTTAAGAACTTGAGCCTTGGCTAAATTTACCTCAGTTTTCAAGAACTGACTTTATTTGAAGAAAGTAAGCTTAACTCCTGAACCTGAAGTAATTTTAGTTAATTTTTGTTTTTAGTTGACTTGAATTTTGCTTCTTTTTAAGGAGCCCTTGACTAAAATTACCTCAGGAGCAGAGTTTATTTGAAGAAAGTAAGGGCAACTCCTGGACCTGAAGCAATTTTAATTTTTTATCTTTAGTTACTTGAAGTAACAAAAGTCCTCCACACATTTGCTTCTTTTAAGGCACCTTGACTAAAATTTCCTCAGGTCCCAAGAGTCGACTTTATTCCTAAGCGAGGTCAGCTCCTGAGGTAATTTTACCTATAAAGCTCTTTTTAACTCTTATTCACCTGTGGCGGTTTGGTCCTTTTTTAAGAGGACTTGGCTATTACCTCAGGTTCTACCAGTATTTTAAGAACTTGAGCCTTGACTAGAATCACTTCATTGGTTTGCGTTATTCCCTGAGGGAAACCGTATTGGTAAGACTGAAATAACTATCTACCGTCACCTGAGGGAGTCCTTTAAATAACACTACTGTTGAGATATTACCTCAAAAGCCGCCCCTAGCGTTTTTTTACTCCTAAGAACACACACCGTGGTTAAAATTACCACAGGAACTATCCTTTACTCCCCGAGAAACAATAAAGACTATTAATTATCTAAAGAACTCGCGCTCCCCTCAGTATCCTACAACGTATAAAAAGTCTCAGAAATTACCTCAAAAGCTCAAAAGGCCCTGCCCGGCCTCGAGCTCGAGGTCTTGGGCTGCGAGGCGCCGTTGAAATCTATCTATCTATCTATTTCTATTTCTATCTCTCTATTTTTTAGCCTCTACGGCGCCCCACAGCATCGTCCCTTTCAAGGAACGAGAGAGCGCTACCGCCTCGGCAGCGCAGCTTGCTAATTTTTAGACACAGCTGAGGAGCCCGCCGAGTTTTTAAATGCTCCCGCCCCGCCCCTCGGAGAGAGAGGGACTCTCGGCCAATCCGAGGGACGGGTTTTCAGAGCAGCCAATGGCGGGGCGAGGTGGGCGTGGGGAAAGATCCGCGAGGGCGGCGTCTCCCGAGGGCGCTTGGGCGGGAAAGCGCGCTCTCTCGAGCTCGAGCTCGAGCTCGAGCGCGAGCTCGTGCGCACGCGCACAGAGGGGAGTGAGCGAGCGCGCGCGGGCGGGTTGTTTCCTACCTCGCGTTAAGGGCCCAAAGGCGGCTGGCTCTCTCAGCGGTTGCCATGGAGACGGCGGGAAGCAACGCGCGCCGCGCGAGGCGGCTCGTCACGGCCAGGTGGGCCGCGGCCGCACAGGTGAGGCAGATTTTGGAGGCTGCGGCTCTGTATGTGAGTGTGTGTGTGTGTGTGTGAGTGCGTAATGCCTTCTCCTCAAGGTTTGGCCCCTCCACGTCCCCCCCGCCCCATCTGAGGACCCTTTCGCCCCGCCCTTTGGACTACAAATCCCATCCGTCAGGCAGCCATCCTCTTCTCCCCTTGTGTCCCATGAGAGGCCGGGAATATTGGAGGCCCGGTTTTTTTAAAAAATATCCCCGTTATTTATTTTTTTTTGCAGCGTGTTTTTTTAGGATTGAGAGGGTGAGTTGGGTTTATACTGTGTGTGTGATTTGGATTACAAGTCCCATCAGCCACCTCCGGGGTGGGGTGGGGGGGCTGATAGGGATCGTCCCTTCTTGCAAAGGAGAGCTTTTCTCCCTGCTTTAAAATGATCACTTGTTTTTTTTAAAAAAAACTGAAAATTTAATAAATACCAAAAAAAATAAAATAAATAGAATTATGGTTATATTGTAAGAGATGCTTTGGACTACAGTTTCCATAAACCAGGCTGTTGCAAGAGAGGCAGTCCCCATCAGTCTCCCCCAACCCCAAGGCTGGCTAATGGGAACTGTAGTCCAAAGCGTCTCCTATACTCTACACATAACTGTAATTTTTTTCTTAAAATTATTTTTTATATTTGTATTTTGTACTAATTTTTCAATTTTCTGCTTGGCGCGGGTCCTTCCCACCTAAAATTCGACCCCTTTTTTCTGTTGTTTTGTTTGCATCTTCTCCACTATGTTACAATCTTGCCAGGCAGCCTTTGGTTTTGTTATTTTATTGTGCAAATATTGAAATTGTTATTTTTTTCCCAGGTATTTTTTTTTTAAAGAAAAAAAAATCCAGGACTGGTATGTTTTGTTTTGCTTTGCTTTTTAGGGATTCTGTTTAAATTGTTACAATAAGAGTTTTTGATACATGGTGTCTTGCCCCTTGAAAGAAATCCATCCAAATTTGAAACTCTTTCTTCCTTTTTCTATTATAGGAACTCTTCCCACCCCCAGTTAAATGTTTTCAAAAGAAGTGCTTGTTCGAAAGTGCAAAATAATAAATGTCTGTCATGGTTGTATTTATTAATGGTTAAAATATGGTTTATGGAATTAACCAGATTTTCTGCCCTTGAGTGACACTGAAATATAAATTACTCAGAGCACCCTGAAGTGGATGACATATTAGAAGTGAGTGATTGATTCCTTGTATTGGGCAAACCCAGTTACAGGTAGTCCTCTACTTACAACAATTCATTTAGTGACTGTTCAAAGTTACAACAGCACTGAAAAAAGTGACTTATGACCATATTTCACACTTATGACCCTTGCAGCATCCCCACGGTCAGTGATCAAAATTCAGGTGCTTGTCAAGATCACCTTTTGTGACCTTCTGACACACAAAGTCAGTGGGGAAGCCAGATTTGCTTAACAACCGTGTGACTAATTTAACAATTGCAGTGATATACTTAACAACTGTGGTAAGAAAAGTCATAAAATGAGGCAAAGCTCAACAAATGTCTCACTTAGCGACATAAATTCTGGGCTCAATTGTGGTCTGTAATTCAAGGACTACCTGTACATCAAGGCAAGAGAAACGAAAACGAAAGAGTGAGTGATATGTTTTTCCTGATTTTAGTTTAAGCTTCTTTCCAACAATGACTGGCTCTTTTGTATACAAGTAGAAACATGCCCAAAGGAAAGAACATAGAAACCATCAAAGGCACATTTAAAAAAAAATTAAATAACAAAATAAAATTGAGGCACTGCTTTCATAAGTGTCCATCTAAATAGAGAACAGATTATGCAGAAATAGCTATACGCCTTCCAAACACAAGCTCAGATCTTACTTTCAAGGCAGCTGCTTCCCTCCTAAAGGTAAAACTGTGGTCTCTGGCTTTATCTTTAAAAAAAGTAGTTCCCATTTTGCCGATACAGATGAGGGTGTCATCTTGATATCTGCAATCTAGGCTTGTAATCGGAGACTTCAAGGTAGGTAACACAAGCAAATTATTGGGGTAAGCACTGAAGGGATTTCTTGAACAGAAATCCTTCAGTAAAGTAAAGTAAACAGAAATTTCTTTGGAACTGCAAAAGCTTTACAGTTTTTTAACTGTAACATCTGCTAAAGTCTTTATGCGCTGAAGGGGAACCACAGCTTCCGGAAAAAAGGCATGCAGTGAGTAAGCAAAGATGGAGCTGTAAAACTAGACCGCCTTGGGGAACATGTCTTCTAGTTGATTTCCCTTATTATGAAAAGTTTGTGCAGGGCAGGTTAATACTTTGGAGGGGAGCCGGTTTAAAAGTTGCTGACTTCTCTCATTTTACGGTGAAGCAGCTGCTAAATTGGTTATGCCGCTTGGAAAGCACAGATCTCTTTCCTTTCAGCTTTTTGCCGTATGACATGCAGAGGTCTATGCGATGAGGAGAGGCCAGCCACAGAAAACATCCCTGGGGAAGCCACAGATGTCTCCGTCCCGCTCTCGGAGTCCAAAGTCTCCTGCAATCATCCGTAGCAGGTCATCGTCTCCACTGGACACAGAAGGAATTCCGTCGACCCATCAGCCAACGGGTCAAAGATATCAAGGAGAGGTAGATCGAGAAAGCGATACAGGTATTGTAATAATCAGTGATGGATTATATAAAACGTTGCAGCTTTCCTGCAGGGACTTTGCTTAAGAGATCTAAACAATGGCTCTTTTATATATTTTTTTAGAAAAATACACTACAGATAGTCGTCGACTTACAACCGTTCATTTAGTGACAGTTCAAAGTTGCAACTGCACTGAAAAAAGTGACTTATGACCGTTTTTCTACGACCTTTGCAGTATCCCCATGTTCACATGATCAAAATTAAGACCTTTAGCAACTGACTCTTAGTTATGATGGTTGCAGTGTCCTGAGGTCATGTGATTCCCTTTTATGACTTTCGGATAAGCAAAGTCAATGGATTCACTTAACAACTTTGTTAACTAAGAAATGCAGAGGTTCACTTTACAACGGTGGCGAGAACGGTCGTAAAATGGGGCCAAATTCACTTAACAGCTGTCTTGCTTAACAGAAATTTCAGCTGTGGTTGTAAATCAAGAACTATCTGTACTTCACAATTCTCTTTTGGCTTATCAGTTCATCCGATATGAATATGATTTCTATCCCCAGCATAAGGATTTCAGGCCAGTTCACCCATTTGAAGTGGGTGGAAAGGAAGTGTGGTGCTTTTCTCCTGCTATTGTGCATTAAATGTTTGATTTTAAAGTTTTTATATTGTGTGGCACCAAGAATGTTAACGGAGTTAACAGAGGCCGCTTATATGTTTAGTACAGTGTTTGTCAACCTCAGCCATTTTAAGATGTGTGGACTTCAGCTCCCAGAATTCACCTCTATGGCTTTGATAATGCTTAGATTGTTCCTTGTTCAGTTTCTATGTCACTTACTACCTCAAACACCTTGCTATTGATTTCAGATGGCAGTCCAGGTATCCGATACATAACAGAACCTCTTCTTAAAAAGCTCGCCAAGCAAGAGAATCTGGCACGCATAACCGCTCTGAATCTTTCTCTTGGTAAAGATGGAGGGAAGAAATTTAAGGTTTGTGTCTGGTGCTTTGTACTTTAACAACCATCAACCACAGGGAAATAAGAGACTATGGGAATTCTGCAAATAAACCTGATCTAAAGAAACACTTTCTAATGCTTTATAGTGTGATTGCAGAGCTGAATAGATGAATCCATATTTTTATTCCTTTCAGTACATAGAAAATCTGGAGAAATGTAATAAACTGGAAGTCCTAAATCTCAGTCATAATCTGATCGAAAAGATTGAAAAATTGGATAAACTTCTGAAGTTATTGGATCTCAACCTCTCTTTCAATAAAATAAGGTGAGCAAGAAAAAAGAGTGAATAATTACAAAACAGATTACGCTTTTCTTGAGGTTTTTTTAAAAACCAGATAAGGCTATTCCCATTTTTTAAACTTGCATCAGCCAAAGACTAACGTGTCGCAAAATGAGAAGGATAAACTTTCACATTCTTTATAAACAAACTCCCGATAGTTTCTCTCTCAGTTTCAGTTTTCAGTATCTTAGCACTTTTGTGGTAAAGGGATTCAAGTACACGGAGGTAGTCTAAGAAGTACATGGAAAAATAATATGTAACAACAAACCAATGTATGTCAGCAAACTTCCTGTAAGTTTAGATGCCCTTGTATTCTTGTAACTTCGTAGCTTTTTATTTAAGCTGGGCTGTTGTTCAGTTCTTCTAATCGTAGCCTGCAGAGTGGGGAAATGTTATCACAGCTCTTCCTTTGTATAAAAACTATAATTGATGTTAAAATCCGAACCTGTTCCTCACCTTAATATGCCGGATTGTCAACCCATCTCTTTTTTTTGTCCAGTAAAATAGAAGGGATTGAACATTTACACAGTCTGCAGAAGCTGAACCTGGCTGGGAATGAGATTGAACACCTCCCTGTGTGGCTGGGGAAAAAACTCCGGTCCCTTCGCATCCTGAATTTAAGAAAAAATAAAATCTCATCAGTAAGTGATTTTCCACCCTACAACAATGTATATTAATAGAGGATTGGGTACCATCGTAGTTATTGTGATTGTTTAAATCCTTCCCACCATCTGACAATATAGCCACCTCTGAAAACAGTTCTGCTTGGAATACTAGCGATACCTTTACTGACTGTTAATAAAGAGCCCTGGTGGCTCAGTGGTTAGAATGCAGTATTGCAGGCTAACTCTGCCCATAGCCACGAGTTTGATCCTGACCAGCTCAAGGTTGACTCAGCCTTCCATCCTTTCAAAGTTGTTAAAATGAGGACCTAGATTGTTGGGGGCAATGGGTTGATTCTATAAAATGCTTAGAGCTGTAAAGCACTGAAGTGTTATATAAATTATCCTATTCCTATTCTATTCTATTCCTTATTCCCTATTCTATCGTATTTCATATTTCTATTCTATTCTGTTCTGTTTATTCTTATTCTACTCTGCCATGCTGGCACAGTGGTTAGAATGCAGTATTGCAGACTAACTCTGCCCACAACCTGGAGTTCAGTCCTGACCGGTTCAAGATTGTCTCAGCTTTCCATCCTTCCGAGGTCGGTAAAATGAGAACCCAGATTGTTGGGGGCAATATGCTGACTCTGTAAACCGCTTAGAGAGGGCTGTAAAGTACTGTGATGTGGTATATAAGTCTAAGTGCTATTGCTATTGCCAGAGGAACCAGCTTCCACAGTCATGGGATAACCAGTTGCAGAATCCTGCAGAAACTCCCTATAAATATATCTTTGCTTTCTGCTGGAAAACAAGGACGGGGTCACATAATTTGGGGTAAACATTCCCTAAAGCTAAAAAAAAAAAAGAAAGAAAGAAAATGTACTCTCCTGCACAAAGAAGCATTTTGTGCATCCTTAAAATGCTCTTCGTTGGCTTCTATTTTTGGTTCTCTTGCTGTGTATTTGCAAAGCTCTATGAAAGTACTATATTAGAAAAAGCGGGTATTCTTTTTTGAAGATTTCCCTACTTTAGAATTCAGCTCAGTTTGTCTTTGTGTAGCATTCACACAGACTTCTTTTCAGTTGTATCTAGCCAATAGAATTTTTTTAACTCCAGAAATTGAGTTATAACATGAAGCGCCATGCTTGATAGAACATCTTAACTGGTTACATCAATTTCTATTCAGTTTTAGCATAAAAGAACCATTTAGCTTATCATTTCATGGTCTGTTGCATTACTTATCTATAGTAGAAAACTTAACCCTAACTTATGCCTCAACATCTAATACTTGTGCCTCTTTATTATTTATTCCATTTATCTATCTATCTATCTATCTATCTATCTATTAAATTATTAATTGTGTATTATTTCCTTTCAGCTCCACGAAGTAGCCAAACTGAAGCCTCTTAAAGATTTGACTTCTCTGTTCCTGGCAGACAACCCGGTGGTAAACCTCCCTCACTACCGTCTCTATACCATCTTCCATCTGAGGTCATTGGAGGATCTTGAGGGCCAGCCGGTGACGAATTGTGACAGGGAGGAAGCCCTTGAAAGATTTAATTTAGGTAAGTAAGTGCCAGTTCGAACTATCATTATGCATTCAGATAGCTTCTTCTAAAAATATATATTATATTGCATTAATATTAATGAACGTATCTTTTTTTGTATGTACGCTGAGAACGTATGCACCAAGGCAAATTCCTTGTGTGTCCAATCACACTTGGCCAATAAAAAATTCTATTCTATTCTATTCTATTCTATTCTATTCTATTCTATTCTATTCTATTCTATTCGGTGGAACCCCCTTATGTAGAAACATTTAGGATTGTAACAAAATGAACTGTTCCAATTTTTTTTTAGGCTGTAGTCATGCTTTTATACAGAAAAGGGTTGTTTCTGGCAGTTGGATGGTAACCCACATTATATGTAATTTATGGCAGGGTGGATTGTGATTTAAATCACAATTTAAATCACTAGTAAAAAGGATTTAAATTATCTCGATTTAAATCATAATTTTTAAAGAGCAATTGTAATTTCTGTCCCGCAGCAGCTCCTCCTCTGACCCACTACTCACTGACAGTCCCAATATTGCAGACTCACTGACAGTAGCCTCACTCTACATAACTAAGATCCATTTCATACTGAATAAACTAAATTATTAATGTATCTTAAATTGAAAACTATCTTTAGATAGATTTTTTACTCCAAAAGCATTTTATTAAAATAAATTTGATAAAAATAAAAAAAAATCCGATTTAAATAAAAAAAATTGATTTAAATTTCTAAAAATCCTATATTTATTTATTTATTAATTAATTAATTAAAAATCATCGATTTTTATCCACCCTGCAATATGGTCTATCTGAGATACAAGAACTTGTCAGTAAATAGCCTCACACTGTGTAACAGGCTTCCCTCAGCCTTGTCTTTGGCACCAGCCCTTCCTACCTGTTTCTCTCTCTCAGTTATAAACGAACATTCGGTTTGGTCTGCCAATCCAATTTGCATTATTTATTTGCTTTCCTGCCAAGAAGAAGCTGAACGTGATTTTGTTTTTTTTTTCTGGCTTGCTTGCCTTTTGCAGAAGAGATAGAACACCTGGAACATGACCTGGAACAGATGACCAAGGAGATAGAATGCTTGCAGAACAAACAGTCTGGTTTGCTAGAGCAAGTCCAGCAACAAGAGGAGCAGAACAAATCCTTAAAACAGAAGCAAGAGCAGCAGAAACAGAGCCATAAAGACCTGGAGACCGAACTGGAAACCAAAAATGAGTTGGTAAAGCAATGTAAATGGGTGTTAGTCAACCATAGATCCTATTCTAAGGTTATGGATTGCTTGCAGACTTGATATGAAGTTAAATTCTTTATGTGATCCACTGTCCAATATTTAACTGTGTTTTTATTAACTATGGTTAATAAAAACCATAGCCTTACACGATGCGTAAACTAGTTTGGCCTGTAATCCACTCTCACTATTATGCTGTGACCTTAAGTTACTGCTTGTATGTATCCACATCTTCCTGAAACTGACGTTGCTTTACCACCACCACCCCCCTCCATTTTCCATTAGCTGAAGCAGAAAACCGTGGAACTGACTCGAGCTTGTCAGAAGCAGTATGAGCTGGAACAAGAATTGGCTTTCTATAAAATCGACGCCAAATTTGAGCCGTTGGGCTATTATCCAGTGGAGGTAATTCTTGGAAAGGGGGTGTTCTGATTTTCGGCAGTCTAAAATTTTGTCTAACTTAGGAGCCCTATTTCTGGTAGCCCCGTTCTTAGTGGAATGACCAGAGAAGAAGGGCTTAAACACATTAAGTATGTGCCGAGATGATTGGATTACTTCTTCCTCTGTTAATGATGGCACTGATGATGTTACCTAGTTGGGTAATGAAACGTCTGCAAGAAAAAACAACAAACTCAAAGAGCACCAAGAACTCTATACTTTTTCCTCTGGTTCACTGCAGACTTATGGAAGAAGTAATAAAAAGAGTCATTTTTGGAAATGGACCACATTTTCATGGTCTATGAAACTGCAGCCCCAATACATGGCAGGGTATCTTTTCATCCTGGGAGAGAGTGAGAGGGTAATACTTATTTGTGAGGCTCAGCGTAGTTGAAGCCTCTAATATAGACTTCCTTGACCCTGGTTACCTTCTGAAGTGCATGTCTCAAAGCCCCACGTGTTAAGAATGGGCCAAGTCAGGAGGTAAAACATGGAAGTATCAAAGCTGGGGAACACCTTTTGAGTGCTTTCTTCACTCTGTCTTATATTTTTCTGAACCCTAAAATAAGCGCTTGGCCTTATTGCCATGCACTCAAAAGCCCGATTGGGCTTATTATCGGGATGTCTTATTTTGGGGGGAACAGAGTATTATATGAGAATTCCCAATTGGCTGGCTGAAGAAGATAGAACAGAACAGAAAGAATGGAATGGAATGGAATGGAATGGAATGGAATGGAATGGAATGGAATGGAATGGAATGGAATGGAATAGAATAGAATAGAATGGAATAGAATAGAATAGAATAGAATAGAATAGAATAGAATAGAATAGAATAGAATAGAATAGAATTCTTTATCAGCCAAGTGTGATTGGGCAAGGAATTTGTTTTAGGTGTACATAAGGAGGGTAAAATACATTCATCAAGAATAAAAGGATACAACATTTAGTGATAGTCAAGGTAACTAATAAGCTATCAAATCGTACTAGGAAACAAGTAAAAACAATATAATTGAAAGATACAGGCAACAAGGTTATAGTCATAAGTAGGAAGAGATAGATACCAGTAAGAATGAGAAGAATAATAGTAATACAGTCTTAGTAAATGATTTGACAGTGTTGTGGGAATTAGTTGTTAAGCAGAATGATGGCATTCAGGAAAAAAAAAATCCACAAAAGTGTAAGGGGACTTGTCCAAAGTTTTCTCGTTATTTGTTTAATTGAATAAGAATTAATAGCAAGATCCATTGGTTAAATCAAAAATAAAATAATCTATCCAAAATGTCTCATGGTTCAGATCGCTGGCTTTGCAGATGATCTTCTAACATCCCTGGTGTCGCCTGCATTATTTCTCCTGTTTTAGGATGTTGAATTTGACAACGTACCAGGTGAAAGTCCTTACATCGGCAAGGCCAGGTACAAAAGGAACATGTTTGCTATGGAGGGTTACATCCCCAGAAAGGCTCAGCAGATGCAGATGGGAAATCTAGAGAAGGAGGAGCATCAAGAAGCCCAGCATCTTAAACAGAATCTTCTCCAGTCGCTCGATGAACAGCTTGAACAGAAAGAGAGGAAGATTAAAGAAGGTATCAACAGCTTTCCTTTTCCTACCTTGAAATCATGAGCAGTGAGCTTAGGCCTCTGTGCGTTTGGGTGACCTAGAATAGAATAACAGAGTTGGAAGGGACCTTGGAGGTCTTCTAGTCCAACCCCCTGCTTAGGCAGGAAACCCTACACCACTTCAGACAAATGGTTATCTAATCTCTTCTTAAAAACTTCCACTGTTGGAGCATTCACAACTTCTGGAGGCAAGTTGTTCCACTGATCAATTGTCCTGACTGTCAGGAAATTTTTCCTTAGTTCTAAATTGCTTCTCTTCTTGATTAGTTTCTACCCATTGCTTCTTGTCCTGCCCTCAGGGGCTTTGGAGAATAGCTTGACTCCCTCTTCTTTGGGGCAGCCCCTGAGATATTGGAAGACTGCTATCATGTCTCCCCTAGTCCTTCTTTTCATTAAACTAGACATACCCAATTCCATCAACCGTTTTTCAAGTTTTAGCCTCCAGTCCTCTAATCATCTTTGTTGCTCTTTTCTGCACTCTTTCTAGAGTCTCCACATCTTTTTTACATCGTGGTGACCTTTAGGAACATTTGATTGATGTTGATCTATCAATAAATGAATCAAATCCCTTGCAATCACAGAGATGACCTGAAATAGACAGCTCTTCATCTCACAGGTTTAGCCAGCATGGTAGATTCCAGTAAGACGCACTGAAATAGCTTCAGAGGGTATTCAGATTTAAAGTCAAATTACGTGGTTCTTTCGTTTTTCTTTTTAAACCCTTCTCTGATCCTTAGCAGCCTCTCAAATCCTGTGCCTTTTAAAGCTTTGGCAGCAATTATTATCTAAACATTAAAAATGGTTTGCTTTTCTAACAGGAGAGAAATGCCTTTCACATCGCCAGCATCTAATCCGTTTCAACTGAATCTTAATTTTTCATGTTTTTTTCCAGCCCAGGAAAAATTGGCCACACTGCACAATGAAGTCGCCCAGGCAGAGCAACAGGTCTTAAAAGTCACTGAGGAGCTTAAACAAGTCCAGGATGCGGTTGCCCAGAAAAAGGTATGAACAAATGGGGAGCATGATGACCAAATCTAGCTATGCTTACCCAACGTGCTAAACCATGTTTTCGCTTTGCCATTCATGTGTTGTGTTGAACCCAATACACCAAAGATAAAAAAAATGGTTTCATGCGAGACATAACCTTAGTCTTTTTGTGCCTAAAGGATAAATTTCAAAATTCCAGTTTACGGCTCTTAAACTGGGGAAGTGAGAACATGATGCTTTTCAGAGCCAAACATTAAAACCATCCTTCATCTGGAATGACAATAGCAACACATTTAGCATTTTATCTTCCAGTTTCGTCATTTATGGCAATGTTGCTGCGTATAAAAACACAAGACTGACCCAGAAACCCACAAAAGCCACAGTCCTGTGCACTTATATTTGGAATTAATTTCCATTAACGTTGACGTCTAAGCAGGAATGGGAACCCCAATTTCTGAATGGCAAGAGATTCCAAGTTTTTATACCTAAGCTTCTAGCTTGAGAATCTCTTGCGTGCTCATTCTTCCCCAGGTTTCTTTGGTTATATTCTCTGCATTTTCAACTCCAGGTATCTGAAGCAGAAAAGGATTGTTTTCGGCAGCAGCTGAGCAACAAGATATGTCTCGTTCATCGGCTGCAAGAGGAGGCTCTGGAACTAGAGGGACAGATGCAGAAACAACGACAAGAAATGGCGGAAAAGGAAAAGGAGCTAGAAGGCTTGCAAAGTTTCCTAGATTCTCTGGATCCTAAAGACCCAAGACATGTAAGTGTGTACATCTTCCTGTTTTAAAATGGGTTGCTTTCTTTTTAACTTGGGATCTGTTCTGTCGAAGAAACTCAAATCAGCTTTTGAGTTTTTGCCAATTACGTCAGTCAGATGCCTCTGTTTATTGTCAGATTGCTGGATGTCCAATGGGTTTGCAGGAAGTTTAGATGCGGTCCGATCTACCCAGAGTTCCTTTAGCAAAAGCCAACTTTCATTAAGCCAAATTTTTTAAAATTTTATTTTGGCAATTGCGGAATGTCGCAAATTACTTTAGCGTTGATCGTTTGCAAACCAGCCCATCTAGCTTTTCGATCCCGTGAGGGTGAATACTTGTTGTCCCAAACTAATTTTTTGTGCGCCAGGCCACAAAGCTCCCGACAGAAAACCTTGCCAAGATTGCAGCCTTCCCAAACTGACATCCCTCCCACCCCCCATGCTTTCGAAACAAAAGGAAGCTGTTTCCTCCAGTGGCCGGCCTCTCTCTCGGAGAGCAGAAGTGCCTGCTGCCACTCCTATAGCTGATTGGCTGCCGACAGGCAGTTTCCTGTGTTGTGATTTAAAGCAAACAGGGCAGAGCCCAATTAACCGAGACAAGCAGGGATTGGCACGCACGTTCCCGCTGGGCAAGCGTCATAAAGAATCTCACACGGTCTCTGGAGCTGGCTTCTTTCAAAACCACTTCCTCGCCCCAAGTTGCAACTGTCAAACAGCGGATGATGCGCCAGACGAGAAAAGAGATTAGGGGAACTGTGTCCCAGTTAAGCAACTCCTTCCGTTGCTGCATTTTTCTCCCCACAATGAATTTCACATGCTGAGCGGGGAGGGGAAAAGGAGACGAGACAAAGAAAGCAGTGTAAGTTTTCTCCTCCTCCCCCCCCCCCCCCATCAAAAGACTCTGGAGGCAGCTCAGCAGCTGCAGGGACTTTGAAGGGGAGTTGACAGCATTCAGCGGTAGATAGACTGTAGAAAAAGGAAGACGGATCTAGCGTGATTGTGGGTGTGTCAACAATGGCCGAGAAGCTTGGTGAGTGTGCGATTGTGCTCAAGTGAAACGTGCTTCGATCTTTTTTTTGCATTGCTTCAGGGAATCTGGAAGAGTGTATCTCGAAATCATTGCATTCTTGGAATCAGAGTCATTACGGTTTTGCATTTTTAAAATCATTGCTGGATGCTACAGTTATGTAAAGGGACCGTTTGACTAAGTATTGAGATTCCTCGTTGTTGTTTTTTAACCATTGCTTTTATTTTGGAAGTTGACAGTCCAAACAATCATTTTTTTTTCTTTTTGCTATTGATATAGAAATAGCCAGGGACGTGATGGCTCAGTGGCTAAGACGTTGAGCTTGTCGATTGAAAGGTCGGCAGTTCAGCATTTCAAATCCCTAGAGCCGCGTAATGGGGTGAGCTCCCGTTGCTTGTCCTAGCTTCTGCCAACCTAGCAGTTCGAAAGCAGGTAAAAAATGCAAGTAGAAAAATAGGGACCACCTTTGGTGGGAAGGGAACAGCGTTCCGTGCACCTTTGGCGTTTAGTCATGCCGGCCACATGACCACGGAGACATCTTTGGACAGCGCTGGCCTTTGAAACGGAGATGAGGACTGCCCCCTAGAGTCGGGAATGACTAGCACATGTGCGAGGGGAACCTTTACCTTTATTAGAAATAGCCAAATACAGGACAGCGATAGAAATTGGTAGTCTGGAACCCCAGTTTGTGAGGGAATCAAGTATGCAGAATCTACCTACAAACTATTTTCTAAGTCAGTGCAAATGGAGCACTGTAATAAAACCTGCTATCCGGACAGTTTAGGTGGGCTGTTAGCTGTCAGGAGATGTTGTTAGAATGGGTTTTGTGGTCTTTAAAAAAAAAAACACCAGTTACTGCATATAATACTTTTGTTAGCTGTTGAGGGTGTTTGGTTTTCATTTTCTTGCATTGCTTTGAGCTGTCATAGAACATAGAATAATAGAGTTGGAAGCAACCTCAGAGATCTTCTAGTCCAACCTCTGCTCAAATATACGTCATTTCAGACAAATAGCTGTCCAGTCTCTTCTTGAAAGCCTCCAGTGATGGAGCATCCACAACCTCTGAAGGCAAGCCGTTCCACTGATTAATTGTCCTCACTGTCAGAACATTTCTCCTTTGTCCTAGGTTGCTACTTTCCTTGATGAGTTTCCATCCATTGCTTCTTGTCCTGCCCTCAGGTGCTTTGGAGAATAGATTGATCCCCTTTTCTCTGTGGCAGCCCCTCAAATATGGAACACTGCTATCGTGTCACGCCTAGTCCTTCTTTTCATTAAACTAGACATACTCAATTCCTGCAACCGTTCTTCATATGTTTTAGCCTCCAAAACATCTTTGTTGCTCAACGTCTGCCCATTCTGTCCCTAGGCTCATATGAAGGCTCAGAAAGCAAGCAAAGAGCAGCAACTCGACATGATGAGGAGGCATTATAAGCAACTGGAAAGCCGCCTGGATAACGTGCTGTCCAGGATCGCCAATGAAACAGAAGAAATCCGGGATTTGGAGCAACAGCTTACAGATGGTAACCTTCTCCTTTGCAATCCTCTCTTCCGTCCAAAACCTTTATGGCAAACTGGCCATGTGTGCCTCAGATGTTACGGGGTGCGGGTGTTTATTAAGCATCAATAAAGGTTTTGTTGCAAGAAGCATCTGGGGTAGCTTGGGAATTGTTATTAATATCTGTTCGCAGGTCAAATTGCAGCCAACGAAGCCCTGAAGAAAGACTTGGAAGAAGTCATCCTAGGATTACAGGAATACCTCGAGAACATTAAGAGTCAGACGAAGCAAGCGACCGATGAGTGCAAAGACCTGCGGAAAGAGAAGGAGGCTTTGCTGAAAAGACTGGAAGAGGTAGAGGAAGAGAGGAACCAGCTGGAAATAGTTGCCATCGATGCCGAAAACCTGAGAAAAGTGAGTTATGAAGACAACCTTGCTTTATAGCCTTGACATTCAAGGTTATAATTACCCTTACCAGCTTCGGAAATATGTTTTGATCAGATCCCTTTCTTTCTCTCTTTTTGACTGAAAATCGCACCAAGTAAAGGATAATATTTGTAGCTCAGGATTGAAATGAGGGCTTCTTGGTGCTCTCCAGCCTAGCACCGATGATGTTACCTAGTTTGGGTAACGAAATGTGTGCAAGAAATCAAGCAAGCTCAGAGAGCACCAAGGAAACTGTGCCTGTCAGAACTAGAATAGAATAGAATAGAATAGAATAGAATAGAATAGAATAGAATAGAATAGAATAGAATAGAATAGAATAGAATAGAATAGAATAACAGAGTTGGAAGGGACCTTGGAAGTCTTCTAATCCAACCCCCTGCCCAGGCAGGAAATCTTACACCACTTCAGACAAATGGTTATCCAACATCATCTTAAAAATTTCCAGTGTTGGAGCATTCACAACTTCTGCAGGCAAGTTGTTCCACTGATTAATTGTTCTGTCAGGAAATTTCTCCTTAAGTTCTAGGTTGCTTCTCTCCTTGATTAGTTTCCACAATCTACATTTTGCAATATTGTGGACAGGTTGATAGGAAGAATCCAAAGGTACCTTTGATTTCAGGAAACGGCGAACCTGGAACGGGCTCTCCAACAGCAACGTGAACTCAACGAGGCCTTGCAGGAAGCCCAAGGAGAGATCAGCGCTTATGAGGCTGAGCTGGAAGCTGAGCTGAAGGCTCGAGACACTGAAGCCAGCCAGCAGAAGGAAGAGCTGGAGAATTTAAAGCAGATTATTCAGGTAGGCAAACATATATAGAAATAAAGGCCCCCGTCACCTTGTTGTCTGAAATCAAAGTTAGTAGCTCTCCAGCTTTAGAATTGTTGGTGGGACCTTCCCGAGAAGTGATGTTTTAAGGCAGGGGTCCTTTAAACGGGGTCAATTCACGATCCCTCAGAATTTGGAGGGGGGGCACGGACCGGCGTCATGTGACTGGATGGGGGTGGCCAATTTAGCAATCTGGTAAATGATACACATAAATTAAACTTTAATTTGTTTTGGCTGCCTTGGGGGTGGGGGTGGGGGGTGAGGGACTTCTGTTTCTCTCTCCCTCTCCCTCTCCCCCCCTCTCTCTCTCCCTCCCCTCCCTCTCTCCCCCCTCTCTCTCCTTCCTTTCCTCCCTCCCTCCCTCTCTCTGCCTCTCTGCCTCTATATCTTTGTCTGTCTGTCTTTCTCTCTCTCTCTCTCTCTCTCCTTCCCTCCCTTTCTCTCTCTCTCCCTCTCCCTCCTTCCTTTCCTCCCTCCCTCTCTCTCTCTCTGCCTCTATATCTTTGTCTATTTTTCTGTCTGTCTGTCTGTCTGTCTCTCTCTGTCTCTGTAGGCCAGGGAGGCAAAAAATGGGCCCACGTGTCCCATTTTTGGCCTCCTCAGCCTCCAGAAGGCAGGTGGGGATAGGTGGGGCGATGTGGGTGGGGCAGCCTCATGGTCCCGCGCAGGCCAGATTAATGGCTTCCGCAGACCGTATCCGGCCCATGGGCCGTAGTTTGAGGACCCCTGTTTTAAGGTGTCAAAGATGTTCTGGACAGATTTATTTCAACAAAGGCATTCTCAAATTCCATCCCGATGGAGGTTGAGAAATGGGAACTTCATCTTCAGGGCCTTTAGATACAAAATGTAAATCAATATTCAGTAGCTCAATTTTGGGGGAACAGGTTGCTTCAGTTTCCTTTGAAAGATTTGCTTTCTACCTCATTTTTTTTTTTTCTTTTCTGATTGGGGGTTAAAGGTGGAACAGTCTCAGCTTGTCAAGGAGAGGCAGGCCTTGGAGAATGCCTTGGCCAAAGCACAATTGTGCGAAGAGAGGGAACAGGAGAATAACCAGCTGCTTTCCCAACTCAAACTGCTGCAGGTAGAATATTTTTTCCCCAATTGCCTTCGTAGCTCTTTTCCTTCAAAGAATTAATATTAGCCTGATGAATGTTCAGTGAAAATCAGTTGTGTACCTGTCTTTTCTGGTTATTCAGGTCTGTTAAAAATTAACAAAACCTTTATATTAGAGAAATTATTATTTGTTGTAATAACAACAAAGCAGTTGAATGACAAAAAAATAAATAAATCTTGTTTGCAAATGTGCGGCACTGTTAATGTTCTGATGAGATGTCTGTAGGTTTTATTCTGCGACCGAATGAAAATAAATAAATTTCAACTTTGTAATGGTGCATAGTGATCTTTCAAACCTCTTTCTCTCTCCCCCCTCCCCCCTCCGTCTCTCTCTCTCTATCAGAAAGACAACCACCTCTTGAAGCAGCAACTGAAAGACACAGAGGAGCAACTGAATCACACAGCCGATAGCTTAATTCATCCCGAGGAAGTCTCAGCTCGTGTGAACGAACTCAAACAAAAGTTGCGGACTGGGACAGAAATCAGGTGCGATAAAATCAGAAGAGTCCTAAATCCATGGGTGTCAGACCTGCCCCAGTCTGATCCCTTAGGGAAGGGAAACCCTTGACTCCCATTTGGTTGAAGTGAAAGATACTTTTACTAAGAGATGCCTGTTGCAGTAAAGTCAGGCGGAATCCTTCAGTCCTGTCCCTTCCCCCATGACAGATCGAAATCCAGCCAATGTGATGTCGTTGGGGTGTTTTGGGAACACTGAGGTATTTGGGCTGGTAATTTTCCATGCTCAGGGCAAACGGCCTTGAAGATGCCTTGAACGGTGATTCCACGTTGATCTGCTTTTCTTCAGCTGTCATCCCCTTTTACAAATTCCCACACAATAGTGCATAGAGTTTTACTGCCCATTTGTCATCGTCCCCAACCCTCCCCCCTAGTCCTTTGATGGCAGGACGCCAGTGCGGCGCCAAGCCGAAGGTGGACCTGACAATGGGAATGGAAGATACATCTGGAAAGACTTGGGTAATTCTAGTCCTAGGCAGCCCAATGAAGCTTCTAGGTGTGTTTACACATGAGGAGAGGCGTTTATTTTCCTTTTGAAACTTTAGGGTGTTTACTTTTTAAAATCCATTAAGGGTTTTTCCTGGGGAATCACGTCTCCGCCAAACTTTAGAAATGTGGCGGATTTCCCCTTTTTGCCTTCCACTTCTTCTTTATCCTCATTTTCCCCGATAGGACGTTCTTTATTTATTTTAGTTTATTGTTTAAATCTCCCATAACGTTTCATTTTTTTTAAATTTTGCTTTTCTACAACAGGTGCCATAACTCGAAGGACGTATTAGGGAAGAGCCTAGCGGAGCTGCAGAAACAGTTCGCCGAGATCTTAGCTCGTTCCCAGCAAGAAAATGAATCGGCCCAGGCCAGGGAGAGAGAGCTCCAGAAAGAGATGGCTACTCAACGGGCTGAGCTGGAAGAAGCCCAAGAAAAGTATAAACTGGCCTGCAACAGAGCTGCGGAAGCCAAAGTAAGAAAAATGAATGAATGAATGAATGAATGAATGAATGAATGAATGAATGAATGGCAAATTATAACCAGTGGGAGGAAAGGTCACTCAGCATTTTGGCAGAAATCTTTTATATAAATAATACGTTGTTTTTATGGGTCACTTTTTCCTCAATTCTGCAACTAATATTCTGCAGAAAATCTTTGGCTTGATCCTTAATCCTTTGTTGTTGTTGTTAGTTGTGAAGTCGTGTCCGACCCATCGCAACTCCTTGGACAACGTTCCTCCAGGCCTTCCTGTCCTCTACCATCCTCTGGAGTCCATTTAAGCTCACGCCGACTGCTTCAGTGACTCCATCCGGCCACCTCGTTCTCTGCCGTCCCCTTCTTCTTTTGCCCTCCATTGTTCCCCGCATTAGACTCTTCTCCAGTGAGTCCTTCCTTCTCCTTAGGTGGCCAAAGCATTTGAGTTTCCTCTTCAGGATCTGGCCTTCTAAAGAGCAGTCAGGGTTGATCTCCTCTCGGACTGACCAGTTTGATCGCCTTGCAGTCCAAGAGACTCGCAGGAGTCTTCTCCAGCACCAGAGTTCAAAGGCCCCAATTCTTTGACACTCAGCCTTCCTTATGGTCCAAATTTCACAACCATACATTGCAACTGGGCCTTAATCCTTACCGGCATCTAATTATACAAAACTCTCTCTGTCTCATTATTATTTGGCTGCTATGATTCTAAAGACTTTAAGGCAGGGGTCCCCAACCCCCGGTCGTGAGACCCTAAGAGTATAGCTGAAGATCAGAGCTTCTCTATAAAAACAGCGGTTGAGTTATAATTTAAAAAATGACAACTATTACAATTATTAATACAGCAGGAAAAATTGTGAGTGGGAAGGAACGTGCTGATACATTTCATTTGATGTTTGTTTTAGTAAAATAAGATTTTCAGCCTGTTCCTTCCCACTTCTTCTCATTCTCACCTTTTAAACTAAAAAAAATCCAAACTTTTTTTTATTTTTGCATCAGTGGGAATGCTCGATATTGACAAGATACCTTGTTAGTATCATTCACTGACTTTCCTTTGTTACTTATATTTATCTAGATCCAATCCTTAGTATCATTCGCCCCTTTTGTTTCTTGCGTTTATCTAGATTAAATCCGAGAGAAGGCAGAACGAGGCTCGTGTCCAGCAGCTAGAGGGTGAAATCCAGCATCTCGTCGAAAAGCTGAAGAGCATGGAGGAAATTCAGGGCCTCACCGATCAGCAGCTTCAAGAAGCTGATGAGGAGAAAGAACAAATCCTTGCTGAGCTGGAAGACTTGGAGAATAAGGTGGGTTTCTCCTCTTGAAGGTCCTGGTTCAAGGTCCAAGTGAATCCTGGTTATTTTATTGTAGCTTTCAGCGCTTTGTTTTGCTTTTCTCAAATCTGTTGAATGCACTTTTGTTGGTCTTTCCAGAAAAAGGCAGAAGACGCGAGGGCACAGCTGCAGTTCCACAGCCTCAGCAAAGAGCTGAAGGCGTTAAAAGAAGCCATTTCCGCTTCCGATAAACAGGCCACAGCCCAACTCTGCGCAGCCAAAGACCAGCTCCAGTCGCTTCATGGGACTGTGTTCAAAATCAATCGGGAACGTTCCGAGGTACGGTGCTGCAGAAACTCCCCGCTCAGAATGGTGTCAACCAAATCCTCATTGCTTACGGAAAGGAAACCTGTGTTCGAGACCTGTAGCTAAGCAAACTTTATCATTATATTTTATCATTTATCATTATAAAAAAGGTAAAGGTTCCCCTCGCACATATGTGCTACTGTTCCTAGGGGGAACTCTAGGGGGCAGTGCTCATCTCCGTTTCAAAGCCAAAGAGTCAGCGCTGTCCGAAAACGTCTCTGTGGTCATGTGGCTGGCATGACTAAACGCCAAAGGCACACGAAACACTGTTTCCTTCCCACCAAAGGTGGTCCCTATTTTTCTACTTGTATTTTTTACCTGCTTTTGAACTGCTAGGTTGGCAGAAGCTGGGACAAGTAACGGGAGCTCACCCTGTTACGCGGCGCTAGGGATTCGAACTGCTGAATGCCAACCTTTTGATCGACAAGCTCGGCGTCTTAGCCACTGAGCCACCGTGTCGCTTTTATCATTATATATAAACTTTATTTATATTAATGCTGGTGAATCCAGCAAGTCGTAGAGAGAGATTCCAAAGAATGGTGGCATTGAACACTGAGAGAGCATTGAAAGTCTCTGCAGCTGCTCTTTTGTAAATTAATTAAATGCACAATTTGTAAAATGCTACTCCAAACTGATTTGGCCTTTCATCCCCCTTTCCATTTTTCTCCCAACTGAAGGAGCTTCAGGAGGCAGAAAAGTTCTGCATGCAGGCCACTCAAGCAGCTAAGGATCTGGCCAGAGCAGAGACAGAAATAGGACTTTTGCAGAAGCTTCTCAGAGAAAAAGAGGCGCAGGTATGTTATGTTTACATGTTCCTTTTCATAGTGGAGTCCTGGTGGCTAAGAAGCAGTATTACAGGCAAACTCTGCCCACCATCTGGAATTCGATCCTGATGGAGATCAAAATTGACTCAGCCTTCCATCCTTCCGAGGTTGGTAAAATGAGGACCCAGATTGTTGGGGTGAATAGGCTGACCTGTAAATCGCTTAGAGAGCGCTGTGATGCACTATGGAATGGTATACAGGTAGTCCTTGAATTACGACCACAATTGAGCCCAAAATTTCTATTGCTAACCGAGACATTTATTGACTGAGTTTTGCCCTATTTCACGACCTTTCTTGCCACAGTTGTTAAGTGAATCACTCTAGCGGTTAAGTTAGTCACACAGTTGTTAAAGCAGATCTGTTAAACACCCATTGAGTTGGCTTGTCAGAAGGTCACAAAAGGTGATAAAATGAGCCCAGGACACTGCAAACGGTCATAAATATGAATCATTTGCCAAGCTTCTGAATTTTGACCACGGGGCTGCTGTAACGGTCAGGTGAAAAACGATCCTAAGTCACTTTTTTTTCAGTCCCGTTGTAACTTCAAACGGTCACTAAACGAACTGCTGTAAATCGAAGACTACCCATATAAGTAAGTGCTATTACTAATTGACCTGAAAACTGGAGTGAAAGATGCCTGAGGTGGAGGATGTAAGATGTTAGAATTTGGTGTCTCCCAAAGTCCTTTAAAATTGAAAAATCAATGACAAACTTCATCAGAAATATCTGTGGAAGATTTAGAAAGATCCCACGCTATCATTTGGCTGGATCCATCATGTTTCCTCTGCCCAGGGAGAGAACTCAAGATACTGTCTTTGACCCTGTGATCCTTCTTGGTTTTACATGGGCTCAGGGTGGATTTCATTTAAATCGACTTGATTTAAGTCACTAGTAAAAAGGCTTGATTTAAATCAGTTCGATTTAAATCATAATTTTTAAAGAGCAACTGTCATTTCTGTCCCGCATCAGCTCCTCCTCTAACCTGCTGTTGACTCACCGACAGTCCCAATATTGCAGAATATACAGTCTCATGCTACATAACTAAGCTCCATTTCATGCTGAATAAACTAAATCGTTAATATATCTTAAATAGAAAACCGTGTTTAGATAGATTTTTACTCCAAAAGCATTTTATTAAAATAAATTCGATAAAAATCCAAAATATCTGTTTAAATTTTTAAAAAAATTCGATTTAAATAAAACAAACCCCACTTTTTTGATTTTTTTTAAAAAAAATCATCGATTTTTATTCACCCTGCATGGGATTCAAATCCATCCACCAGTTTTTGACAGCATGTCAAAATCGGTCATGAAGGACTTGGTATGGGACACCCTCAAAAGCAAACATTTTCCACCCAAAATAAAATGCTTTTCAACCTTGCAGTTGGAATTGGAAAAGAACGATGCCGAGATGGCGGCTTCGCATTTTCAAAAGGAAGAGTGGGACAAGTTGAATGGGCTTCTGAAGTGGCAGAAAGCAGAAACGGACCGACTCCGCCGAGCCTTAGATCAAGCTAAAAACGGTTTGTTACTTTTCTCTTTGCTTTTCGGCAAACATGGATGAATTTGCACTCTTCCACGAAAGAGTGCCCACAGAATAACTAACACGCTTAAAACAATAAGACAACCGACTTGCTTAAAACACACTGAATTTTTAAATTCCCTTGTAGGCAACAGGGCTGAAATTGAAAGCGTACTGGGGGAAATCGAAGGACTCCGACGTACGATCTCTCAGCAGAACGATACCATCGCTAGCTTCGTGGCTCCACTCCAGCAGAGTCAACATCTCTTTTTTGTGCCGTCATCATCCCAAGTATGAAAAACCATCACACCGTTTGCCTTGAAAGAGACTTTCAATCAAATCAAGCAGAGTTGTTTACAGGGGTGCCCCTTGTTTTCATAAAAAAAACATGGAGTTGGAAGCATCATTTTATTTATTTGAGAGCTGAGATGATGGCGCAGTGGTTAGAATGCGGTACTGCAGGCTACTTCTGCTGACTGCCGGCTGCTTGCAATTTGGCAGCTCGAATCTCACCAGGCTCAAGGTTGACTCAGCCTTCCCTCCTTCCGAGGTGGGTAAAATGAGGACCCAGTTTGTTGAGGGTAAGAGGCTGACTCTGTAAACAGCTTAAGAGAGGGCTGTAAAAGCACTGTAAAGCAGTATATAAGTCTAAGTGCTATTGCTATTATTTCTCTTCATCCCGCCTACAGCCGGCTACTTCTCTCCACCTTGCTAAGCCGAAGTTAGATAAATATTTTGAGTTTTCCTGAGTGGAAGCCCGAACTAGGCCCAGCCAGTTTCTGTCATCCACAATTTCTTTTCAACAGAGCCCACTTTCCTTACAGATTTTTTTCTCTGCAGCCTGGTTATGTCTGTATGGAGAAGAGACCCATTCTCCAAAGAGAAGGAAAACTACAGCATCTATAGCCAGCTTTGTGAATTGACATAACTTGGAGGATTTCCATAACAAAATGATTCTAGCCCTTTTTTCCCTTTCTTTACCCCTTGTACATACAGATGTTTGCATATTTATAGTGCATAAGTCAGCTTCTGTAGCATAGTATGTTGCCATATTTTGGTAGAAGGATTCATAGTTATACAATGGGTGTTTTTTCTGCCTATTGCAAGCCATTGGGGCCCTTCCCTCTAGGGAATATTTGTCTCAACTCAAGTTGGTTATTTGTTGTTGTTTATCTTCCTTTTCCAAGGCGTCTACTCCTGCGTCTCAGAGCACCAAAGATTCAGGCATTATCTTACAGTGTCCCGTGTCGACTCCCATCGTCAAACAGGACAGGAAGCTGACCGAAAGCAAGAAAGCACATTACCCTGCTGGCTTGCAGGAACCCTCCTCTAGCAGTAAGTCAGTTCAGCTAACTACCGTACTTTTCGACGCAAAAGTGGGTGAAAATTTAGGTGCGTCTTATAGACTGAATATGGGTGTTTTTAGGCTCCCAAGCCTTCCGCGTGTCACGTTTTCACCCTCCCTGGCCCCCAGAAGCACTGAAGGCCAAAAACAGGCCCGTTTTTGGCAAAAATGTGCCGTACGGAGCATTGCAGAGTGCTTCTGGGGGCCTGGGAGGGCGAAAATCCGACGCGCAGAGGCCAAAAACATTTTTTTTCTTGTTTTTCTCCTGTAAATTTATGTGCTTCTTATAGTCTGAAAAATTCAGTATCTTGCAAGTTACTTTCTAGAGAAAGCTGGCAGATTATTTGCCCAGGCATAGCTGTTTGCTCCTAGGAGGCAGATGGGTGCTTTTAAAATTTGATAAATAAATAAAAGGTCATAATTTCTCCTTGCTATGTATAGTATGTTACTGGGAACCAGTGAGAGGCAAAGACTGGGAATGCCTCAGCATGCTTCTTGATTGTAAACCTGACTGTAAAGGGAATATTCTTGGCATTTTATTCATACTACTACCTTTCAAGGTGACGAACAGCCTGCATTACAGGTAGTCCTCGACTTACAACAGTTTGTTTAGTGACCGTTCAAAGTTACAGTGGCACTGAAAAATGTGACTTACGTCTTGTTTTTCACACTTACGAACTTTGCGGCATGCCCATGATCAAAATTCAAATGCTTGGCAACTGGTTCATATTTATGACCATTGCTGTGTCTTGGGGGGGGCGGGTGTGTGTCACGTGATCCCCTTTTGCGACCTTCTGACAAGCAAAGTCAACGGGGGAGCCAGATTCACTTAACGTCCAGGTTACTAACTTATCCACTGCAGTGATTCGCTTAACCTCCATGGAAAGAAAGGTCGTAAAATGGGGGCAAAACTCACTTAACAAATGTCTCCCTTAACAACAGAAATGTTGGGCTCAGTTGTGGTCGTAAGTCGAGGACTACCTGGATAAACCAGACAGGTCAAAACCCAATACCGTGTTTCCCCGAAAATAAGACCCTGCCTTATATTTTTTTGAACCCCGAAATAAGCGATTGGCCTTATTTTCGGGGATGTCTTATTATTTTGGGGCACGTGGAGCAAGACAGGCCTCCTCTTGCCGTCTTACCTGATTTCCAGTTCTGTCTCCCTAACCCTAACCAGGGGAAATGGCGGGGACTGGCTGCGCATGGGCTTAAATATTTTCAGGGAGGGCTTATTTTCAGGGGGACTTATTTTTGGGGAGGACTTATTTTAGCACATGGGCTTATTATTTGGGGAGGTCTAATTTTCAGGGAAACGGGATAACAATTCTTCTGTACCCATCAGCTCCGAAGTAATGTTCCACACGCTGTTCCTTTTTCTGAGAGCACACCTCTTCGCTGTTTGTGTCTTTGTGTTCCACAAAAAGTTCCTTATCCATGCCCTCCGGTGTTTAACTGGCATTCTTTCCACTGTGTTTCACCCTGAAGGGCACCAAGGTGATGGTGAAACCCTCCCCAGCGCTGCTCCTTGCGTCCTGCCTCCTGGATCCATCATTTATACCCTGCTGCCAGATGGCAACCCAGTGCCCCAGGGTACAGTGCTGTATGGCTTACAGCCTCCCTCCGCGCAAGTCAGCGGAGGCCCAGTTGCTCCCACATCCGTGGTCTACGGCTCACCTCCCACCGGAGTCCAGCTGCATTATGGTCTTCTTCCTGCTAACTATTCAGTGCCATTGGTTCCCCTGGGAATCCTTCATTGCAACATCCCCGACCACCGTAACTTGGTAAGAGGCTACATAATCGGGTTTTGAAACAAAATTCATTATCTTTGGATTTTATGTTGTAGCCGAGAGATGGGAGCCATCAACGTAGCCTAACCTCTTTCGTCCATTCTATCCATCAGTAATCTGGAAATGATTCATAGTCGGCTACCACATGACTGCACGATAAGGATAGTGACAAATAAATTGAGCCTTTTTGCTTTAGAACATAGAATAATAGTTGGAAGGGAGCTTGGAGGTTTTCTAGTCCAACCCCCTGCTCAAACAGGACACCCCAAAACAGAGTGGGAGAGTGGGCGGGTGGTGGATGGATGGATGATAGGATAGAAGGAAGGGAGAGAGTGTGTGTGAGAGAGAGAGATGGTTCTCCATTCTGTTTTTGAAAGCCTCCAGTGACTGAGCACCCACAATTTCTGAAAGTAAATTTCTCCTTAATTCCAGGTTGCTTCCCTCCTTCGTTAGCTTCCATCCATTGTTTCTTGCCTTGCCTTTTGATGCTTTGGAAAATAGTTTGACTACTTGTTTGGCACCCCCTCAAATATTGAATCCCCTGATTGGATCGGGAGATAGAGAGACTCTAATGATGTACTTGATCTCCCATCGTTTGCAGGAAAATGATATCTTGCGGCTAGAAGACAGCATAGAGGCCTTGAGGTCTCAGCGGCACAAAGATGGGTCCTCCAGAACTTCTCGTGAACCTAATAAAGAGATGGAAGAACTGAACCAGGGCATACAGGACTTGTTGAAGGAGAAAGAAGAGCTGGAATACCAAGTCGCAGAGCTGCAGCGGGTAGCCCAGAAGAGAAGTAAACGCATGTGAGCAAGCTCTCTAGCAAAACACAATAAAGTCTATGCTGAGATGTTCCTCTGGGTGGAATGTCGTGGCCCTTTTTTAGCCCATTCAGCAAGAAACAGCTAAGAGACACAGTTTAGCAAGTTTTTCCTGTGAAGCACCTGTGATGTAGGGAGCAAGCTTTTTTTTTTTGGTCTGGATGACTTTATCAATCTCATACTATTATTTATTCAATGAATAACTTACCTTTCCTTTCAGAACTCTTGTTTACCTTAAAACTGATGTTTAAGGGATGGGATCAATTTAGAGCTAAGGACGACAGCAGAAAATCAGTGGTATTTTTTGGTACCTGTCTACAATCCTTCCTTTCTTCCTTCCTCTCTGCTTTAGAGACTTGATCGAAGGGCGTGGGGACGCCCTCACTGCAGAGCTGGAATTGGAGAATTCGATCCAGTGCCATGAAAGTATCATGGATGAAATTGAATGCGTGGAAAAGACACTTCTGAAGCGACGGGCAGAACTCAGAGAGGCTGACTGTCTTCTGGCTGAAGCTGAAACCGAGCTCGAAAATACTCGAGGAAAGGTAATTTGAATATATTGATTTAAAATACCTGCTAGTAGCGTCCCACGGTTGTTTGTCCTATATTTTCTTAGCCCTTCCAAGGGCTGAATAATATAATTATTATTCTTTGAGTAGTCTTAAAAGAATTTAATTATAGAATAGAGTAGAGTAGAGTAGAGTAGAGTAGAGTAGAGTAGAGTAGAATTGAATTCTTTATTGGCCAAGTGTGATTGGACAGACAAGGAATTTGACTTGGTGCATAAGCTCTCAGTGTACATAACAGGAAAGATACGTTCATCAAGAATCATAAGGTACAACACTTAATGATAGTCATAGGGAACAAATAAGCAATCAGGAAACAATATCAATATAAATCGTAAGGATCCAAGCAACAAAATTACAGTCATACAGTCATAAGTGGGAGGAGATGGGTGGTGGGAACGATGAGAAGATTAATAGTAGTGCAGACTTAGTAAATAGTTTGACAGCATTGAGGGAATTATTTGTTTAGCAGAGTGATGGCATTATTCTTCTTTGACTAGTCATAGTGCTTTTGATTTCCCCTTCTAGACCAAAGAGACTATTCAGAAATACAACACCGCTAAGCAACACTTGTCTCACACCGAGAAAGAAGCTGAGGAACTTGAACGACGGACTCGGGAGATGGCTGTAAGGCTTGTGAAAGCAGATCAGGAGCTCAGGTGAACCTAAGTGACTTTTAAGAGGACACTCTTCACCTCAACATAACAGGGCCAGATGGCGGCTCAGGAGATTGCGAACACACAGTCATAAAGAGTTCTTGCTTCTGATTTAACTAACAGCCTTGTTTACTTTAAGGGCATGTAACAGTTGCTCTGGGAGCAGAATTGGTGTGGCAGGCAGCCTGTATATATATGCACACCCAGCTTTCTTAACCTGCAATCAGTTTAATGGCTTTGATCATCGGCTGCCCTTCTCCATATTTACTCAGCTTTCATTATTATTTAACTATGGTGTTGACCTCAGCGCACATTTAGCCGTTTTATTATAAACCTCTCCGTGAGCTTGTCGGAATCAGCAGAACAGCATCCCTTAAATCAAACTGCAAATTCAGTTTCCAAACACAGATCCTCTAAAATCCAAAACAAGATTGCCCATCCCCTCAAGGAGAATGTGAAATCCCCTGGGTTACCAATGGTTTCTTTGCAGAAGTGCAAAGAAGGATTAAAATATGGAAAGGAGAATAAAAAGATGTGATCAAACCCACTTCCTAAGGTCCACTTGGGAAACGAAAGAGATAAAAGCTCAAAAATTATTTGGTTGTGTGTGTTTCATGGTTCGTAGCATTTGCCTATTGGACGTTTTAAGTTTAGCTCGTGATTTAAAAAAATAAAAATAACCCCACCCTCCTCAAAAGAATCGATTTTCAGAGGTGACCAATCAAGAGATTTTTGATGACTGTCTTTCAGGTTCCTTCAAGCAAACGCCCAGGATTTGGAACAGCACAAGATGGAACAAGAAGGAATTCTGAAAGAAATCAACCAAATCGTATCGGCAAAAGATTCTGAATTTCAAGTCTTGAGCCAGAAGATAGAAATATTGACCGAAAGGTATTTTTTTAGACTGGCGCCTCCTGGGTAGATGGTGTTCATCCTCTATTTTTTTTTTCCTTCTCTCCATAATCTCCAACGTGCTTTTCTCTGAAAATTTCCTTTAAGACATCACGGGCACCTATAATACTGTGCCTTTTGGGAGGGGGTAGACCGCCAACTTGAGCTAAGTCAGTTTTGGCAAATATGCTGGCTTGTTTAACCGTTTCACCGAAGGGCCGCTGGGCCACCCTGTGTTTAAATCTTTCTTCCTCCTCTTCCTCCAAAATAAATACATCCCAATTTCATTCTTTTCCAGCCTTCAGAAGCTGCAAACAGACATCCAAGTGGCAGAAGGCAATGAGGATCACCACCTACAGATCCTCAAAGAAGCAGAGAACATCCTTCTGAGCAAAAAGCACGATCTAGAGAGATTAAAAGATCAGGTGGGTGGAATCCTTCCCAATCCACATTTTCCAGAGATAGGAATGTTCTGAGCTAACTCAGCGTTCCAAGCGACACCCCCAACGAAAGAAAACTCAAAGTTTCCTCAAAGTTACATTTTATTAGAGGTGTCATATTGGCACATCTGGGGAAATCCGAATCTGAAAGCTTCCAGGTTTTCCCCACTCAAAAGAAGTCCCTGCCCAGCACCCTACGTCCAACACATGGTCCAATTGCAACACCATGCCAACTGGAGATGCCTCCCAGTTTCAACCATCCAATCTGTCCACTGTCCTTGACTCTCTGAGAAAGGAATGTTATTACGACTATACATCACCCTTGCTCCATACAATCCCCCCTCCCAGTTTCCCACTGCACTAAATGTGGCAGGCCTGAAGGCCCAATGCAGAAGATGGATTCCATGCCTGACACTAGTCCTTGGATGCCGCCATATAGAAAACGGTGTTGAGACTGGAAAAGGCTGGCTTAATGACCAGAGGTGTTTATTATCCACAAATACCAGTGATATTAGTGCAACTATTGGTAGTATTTAAATTTACAAAGAGCCACGCTGACCTTGTCGCTATCTGACCAGCAGCTCAGCCAATGAGCTGGTTAAGTTTTGGAAAGTCATGAATTAACAAGGGTGCTCCTGTGCACTCACTGAAAGCATTTAACCATCTTGCCACCCAGGGCAGGTAAAAAAAAATAATTGAGGACAGACCTTGGGCTGCCCTGAAGCCTGATAAATAAAAGACTTGACTTGTTTCTACAACTGAACTGAATTTCTTGTTTCGGCAGACCTCCGTTCAGCAGCAAGAGTTACACCTGGTGGACAGATTGCTCGATCAAAAAAGGAACGAGCTACGGCTCCTCCAAGACAGCATTGCTGAGAAAAATGCCATCTTTGCAGAAGCTCTTGGGAATGGAGAGGCAGAGATAACTGAAAAACGGCATCTAATGAAGGTCTTTTTCCAGTTGCATTACAGTTTTTTTTAGAGGCTTGCTTTTTTAATTGCTCAAAAGTTTTCTCCGGAAAGTCTCTGTCAGGTTTTGTCATTGGAACGATTCTGTTGTTTTAATTTGCTCCCGTTTTGAGAATTATTTTAATTCAGCGTTCCTCATTCAGAAAGTAAAGGTACTATCAGATGTGCTTGTTGCCCTGGAGCAAGAACTAAATCTGAATGGAGCTGCTTCTCTGTGGAGATTCTCAGTCATCCAGCCATGTTGTTGTTAGTTGCAAAGTCATGTCCGACCCCATGGACAATGTTCCTCCAGGCCTTCCGGTCCTCTACCATCCTCTGGAGTCCATTTAAGCTCACGCCAACTGCTTCAGTGACTCCATCCAGCCACCTCGTTCTCTGCCGTCCCCTTCTTCTTTTACCCTCAATCGTTCCAAGCATTAGGCTCTTCTCCAGGGAGTCCTTCCTTCTCATTAGGTGGCCAAAGCATTTGAGTTTCCTCTTCAGGATCTGGCCTTCTAAAGAGCAGTCAGGGTTGATCTCCTCTAGGACTGACCAGTTGGATCGCCTTGCAGTCCAAGAGACTTGCAGAAGTCTTCTCCAGCACCAGAGTTCAAAGGCCTCCATCCTTTGACACTCAGCCTTCCTTATGGTCCAACTTTCACAGCCATCCATTGCAACTGGGAACACCATAGCTTTTGACTATATGCACTTTTGTTGGCAGGGTGATGTCTCTGCTTTTTAGTACGATGTCTAGATTTGCCATAGCTTTCCTCCTCAGGAGCAAGCGTATTTTAAATTTCTTGGCTGCAGTCCCCATCTGTGGTGATCTTGGAGCCCAGGGAAACAAAATCTGTCACTACCTCCATTTCTTCCCCATCTATTTGCCAGAAATTGAGAGGGCCGGATGCCATGATCTTAGTTTTCTTAATGTGTTAAAGTTTTCTTTCATCCAGCCGTAGTTGTCTTTAAAGAAAAAATAGGTTTAGTGTTTTTGAAGGAGAAGGAAGAAGAAGATGTTTTGCTTCTCATCCAAGAATCTTTATCAGTTGTCACAAGTGATGAAGCTTCTTGGATGAGAAGTGAAACTTCTTCTTCCTCAAAAAACAGTTCAGTTGCTTTTTTTTTTTTTTAAAGCACTTTGGAGATAATGGAGCTGCTTGTTTGCACATTTTGCAACAAGCCCTTCAATTCTTTCTTCATCCTTTTCCTAGGAAATGAAGGCTTTTCTAGAAGACCTGAGTGTTCAGAAGGGAGAACTCAATGCCCAGCTAAGCGAGAAAAGGTCCCAGCTATCTCTCGTCATGCAGAATATCCGAAAAGAAGAAACAAAGCTACAGGATATCTTGGGGCTGATAAAGAAGCATAAGACAGGTTTGGCTCCCCCCCCCCAAAAAACCCTGTAGCCACATCTGTAGCTTTCTATATACCTACCAATATTTACATGAATGCCCTTTTCTGCCATTCATTAGAACTGAAGCACATGCTGGAAACAGCACATCTGGGAAAAGAGGAGGTCGAAACCCTGAAATTTCAGCATAACCAAAAGGCGAACGAGTTGGAAAAAATCGAAAGGTTGCTTCTAGAGGTGAAAAAAAACACATTTTGTAGTTATGGTTTGGTTTAGGAATCCCTGCCTTGAGCTTCTTGCAGATAACATTGGTTAATCTCACTTTTCTAAACAAGGAGAAAGCCGCACCTCCACTAATACAGGAGGGCAAGCTACTGTATATAAACAGGGAATCAATCCTCCACACTCGCTGTAGGGCTGATGGTGTTACCTTGTTGGGTAATGAAATGTCTGCAAGTGAACGGCCAAGCTAAGAGAGCACCGACGCATGACTTTATGTTTCCCAGTTTATAATGTTTGTTGATATTTGGGTGATGCGTTTATGATCTTACGATTTTGATTTTTAATTACTCAGAATCTTGGGAATAGGCAACCATACAGATGATGATGATGATTGATACCTAGGACGCTGGCAGCAACCCGTATCAACCATTAGCACCAGTCAATGGTATTTGTGATGCATTTTTGAATGTTCAGTTGACTGAGATTCAAGTTTAATGAATAAAAGAGAAAGAGTGATCATCATCATCATCATCTCCTTTCATCCCCATAATCCCTTGAAGGGTGGAGTTTGGGGTAACTGAACGGAGCTATCAGAGTGTTTACTGGCCGGATGCCCTTCCTGTCGCCAATACGGAGTTTTGTTCAGCAGATATATTCTCATTGTTCCCAGAGAGAGAAATACCTGCCTCTACCCAGGATCGAACTCACAGCCACCTGATTGTGTGAGGCGAGAGCTCCCCCTCTAGGCACACCGCACCACTCTAATGAGGGTGCAGTGATGGGGGGAGTTAAATTTTGGGGCAGCTATCTTTATGCAGACATTTTTATTGGTAAACCCCAGGAGAAGCTGGAACTGGAGAATCTCCAGCAAGCATCCCAACGCCAACGAGGGGAGGTCGAGCACCAGAGGCAGCTTCTCCAGGAGGCTCAGCAGGAAGCCGAGCGGCTGACTTCTCAGCTCCACCTTCTGCAAAACCGCGTCAAGGCTCTGAACGATGAGAAGCGACAGCTGGAAGCCAGCTGCGAAAGCCTAGAGGAGAAATTCTCCCAAAGCAAAAGGTGACAATGGCGATTGGGAAAGGGGCGTTTTCTTAAATGGCTGACCTTAGCCAATACAAAATCCCAAAAGAGGTCATTTTATAGGAATGGACTTATGCAGGTAGTCCTCGAACTTACAGCAGTTTGTTTAGTAACCGTTCGAAGTTACAACGGCACTGAAAAAAATGTGATTTACGACCGTTTTTCACACTTATGACCATTGCAGCATGCTAAAATCTCAGCTGCCTGGCAACTGACCCGTATTTATGAAGGTTGCAGTGTCCCAAGGTTACGTGATCCCCTTTTCTGGCCAGCAAAATCTAGGAAGCCAGATTCATTTAACAACCGTGTGACTAATTTAGCAGTGATTCACTTAACCGTGGCAAGAAAGGTTGTAAAACAGGACAAAACTCACTTAACTGTCTCACTTTAGCAACAGAAATTTTGGGCTCAGTTGTGGTCGATTCTTCTTTGAATATTTTAATAGATTAACAGAGTTGGAAGGGAACCTTGTAGGTCATTTAGTCCAACCCCACTCCCCAAGCAGATTTCTGCTTTTGAAAAGTTCTACTTTCTCCATGGCATTAGAGAAACTACGTACACTGGTTTTCCTTTCATATGAAATAGACAATGACTAGATTGTGCTGTTTTATCCCAGAGAATATCCCAGACCTGCTGATACGTTAATTTCAGCCAAGGTCTGTGAGACGAAACAGACTGATTTTGTATTCAGTTCTTAGCAATCCACCAAGTTGCACCTGCCTCTCTGCTTTAATTTTGCAAAGTGAACCCCAAAGGTGCTTTTTCAAACGGCAACTGGACTTCATTTTTCCTTGAAGACGTTTCACTTCTCATCCAAGAAGCTTCTTCAGTTCTTCTTCTTCAGAGCTGAAGAAGCTCCTTGGACGAGAAGCGAAACGTACTCAAAGAAAAAACAAAGTCCAATTGCCTTTTGAAAAAGCACCTTTGGGACAAGCATGGATGTTGAGAGTCTCCATAGACATTTGTGAAGTAAACACGTGGCTTTTTCTTTTGGCAGAACCTTAGCCTCTACGGAAGATAATAATAAAACTATTCTCGCCAGCAAAGAAAAATCCATTTTGGATTTCCAAAAGCTGCAGCTTGATATCGATCAGCTTCACAACCAGAAAATAGTTCTGAACAAGGATGTCGCTGAGCTACAGAAGCAGTTGCATGGTACGGGGAAACTTTTTTTTTCAAATCTCTTTTTATCCCAGTCCTTTTCCATATGTGTCTTGTGCGGGATAAAATACCATCAAGATTACGATCTTTTTAATCAAATCGTCTCCCGTGCCTTTCTGTTTTTCTTGGCGATTGACCTCTTCCTCAAAATATTGCAATTATTTTCCCCTTTAGGAAAAAAGGAGGAATTGGAGGTTTTGAAGACGGAACTGAACAATTCCAGGCATTACCTTCAGCTGTTGGAGCAGGTGAGTTTCATTTAGATTTACTATTCCATGTTAAGGATGGGGAAACGTACTGCAGCCAGGAGACACATTTTTTCCCCCAAGGATGCAAAGTCAGGGCAATAATATAATATCTCAGCCAAAATCAGACTGCAAACTGCTACAATAAGGCATGATTTTCTACAGGAAATTAAAAAGGGCAAAAAGAAAGTCTGTTTGCAATTGTTCTCCTGCGAGCTGCATCCAGATTTATCTGTAGCAGCGGCCTACTTAGTAGGTTCCTGAGATACCCCATCAAAGAGGTTGATCTGCAGCAATTAACAAGCATCTTAAATCTTTCGCTTGCAACTATTCTTATATTATTGAGTTTGTCATCTGCATATCATATAACTGTCTGGTTTGGCTCTGCAACCCAACAAGACAGACAGAGACTTCAGAGGATAATTAGAACTGCAGAAAAAATAATTGCTACCCACCTGCCTTCCATGGAGAACCTGTATACTGCATGAGTCAAAAAGAGGGCTGGGAAAATATTTACAGACCCCTCGCATCCTGGACATAAACTGCTTCAACTTCTACCCTCAAAATGATGCTATAGAGCACTGCACAACAGAACAACTAGACACAAGGATAGGTTTTTCCCGAATGCCATCACTCTGCTAAACAAATAATTCCCTCAACACTGTCAAACTATTCACTAAGTCTGCATTACTATTAATCTTCTCATCGTTCCTATCACCCATCTCCTCCCACTTATGACTGTATGACTGTAACTTTGTTGCTGGTATCCTTACGATTTATATTTATATTGTTTCCTAGTATGATTTGATAGCTTATTTGTACCCTATGACTATCATTAAGTGTTGTACCTTATGATTCTTGACGAACGTATCTTGTCTTTTTATGTACACTGAGAGCATATGCACCAAAGACAAATTCCTTGTGTGTGTCCAATCACACTTGGCCAATAACGAATTCTATTCTATTCACTCTGGAACTGCAGGACGTGAAAGAGGCCGCAAAGGCAAAGGAGGATCTGCTCCAAGAACAGAAGGTCCTCAAAGACGCCCTCCACGAATCTTCCAGGAAGTGCAAGGAGGCCCAAGAAGCCCGAAGGGAAAAGGAAAACCGGCTACACCAACTCCACAAGGAGCTTGAGGAACAGGAGGTGAAACAGGCCAAACAAGAGACGGTACATTCATCTTTTTTTTACATTTTGTGTTTGACTGATCTGCTGGCTGAATTCTTCCTTTTTAAAAAATGAACAAGTTGGTGGGGGGAATGGAAAGGTTGATTCAGGAGGTGAAAGAAGCCATAATGGATCTCGGATCAGTGATTCAGTAGCCTCTCCGTACAACGGCTACTCTCTGAGCCCAGTTGTTTAGTATTTACAGGAGTTCGTTTATTATTTATTTAATCCGTGCCCCACCTTTATTATTTTACAAATAACTCGAGGCAGAAAACATATTCCACGCACCTTCCTCCCCCTATTTTCCCCACAACAACCCTGTGAGGTGGGTTGGGCTGAGAGAGAGAGAGGGACTGCTCCAAAGTCACTCAGCTGGCATTCATGATTATTAAATCAAGACTTGAACTCAGGGTTTCCTGTTTTCTAGCTTGGTGCCTTCACCATTAGACCAAACAGACCTAAAGAGTTAAAAGAGAAACCCTTAAAAAGAAAATAGGTAAAAAATAGGATTCTTATTATGCAAAATACCTTTAAGCAGGGGGAGATCTCAGATCACTAAAGAAACCAGACCACCCACCCATCCCAGTAGCCTCTTACCGCAAGCCACCTTAACTCTCGCTTGGTTGCTTTCATCTAGGTCCTTCAACAGCTCAGAGAAGATGTCCAGCACGAAGAAAAAAAGTTGACAGAGTACACAGACATACTGAAGCATCAGAAGAAGCAGCTAGAGCAAGAACTGGACGAGCAGCAGGGTCAGCTGACACAAGCTGTAGCCAAGGTCCAAGAGATGGAAGAACGGATCCGGAAGCTCCAGAAGGGGGAATCTCACATTTCAGCTCTTGAAGGAAAACTCCGCAAAGCCTGTGAGTTGTATTTGAGACCGGGAACGTGGATGTATTTTCATGAGAAATGCGTCTCCATTGAGTAAGAAAGTCAGCGTGGTATTTGCAGCTAAGGATGAGGGAGAGAGCAAGATTCACACCCCAAACTCACTGGGCAACTAGTTGTATACAGCTCATTTGGGAGTTTTATCTACTAAAAAGCATTCCCTTTCAAATATTTTGAGCTGTCTGCAAAGAGACTAGCATTTAGATATCACAAATTCCGCAGGATCCAATCTGAATAGGTCACTGGGACCCAAAGGTTTATTCTTCCAAGCTTTTGGGCTCGTGCTGGAACTTCTCTCTCCCAGAATATGTGCATTGGGCTCTTCTACACATTGTATTTTTATGGTTGCTGGTTGTGTGTAGCTTTTATTCGTTTAATTAGGATGCAGATGATTGGCTATTACCATATTTTTCGGAGTATAAGACGCACCAGAGTATAAGACGCAGCTTAGTTTTGGGGGAGGAAAATCGGGGGGGAAAAATCTGCCTACCAGGAATTCATCTGGCTAGCGTCCTTAATCTGGTCAGCTTCAGCACATTAGTTCACTGGTTTTGAGTGTGCGCATGCGCTTTTTATCCCCTTCTTGGGGATAAAAAAACAGCTTCTAAAGCACAGCTGATCTTTGGAGAGAGAAGCAATGAGAAAAGCAGGCGAAGTGTGGAAGATCGCTTCACTCACTAGTGTCTCATTAGGGCTGACAAAAAGCTTCAAAAAAGACCCAAATTTTCAGCCTCTTTTTTTGGGGGGGGGAGTGTGTCTTATACGGTAAGTTGTTAATTGTTGTTTCCTTGTGACACCATGCCCTCGGCTCTTAAGTACCTGATAGGCTGGTGGTAAATCAGCACTCCTGTTGATTGACCAGGGGTACCGTTTCCCAGGCTTCAATCCTTTCTCTGGCTGTTTTTGTCCCTGCTCAGCCAACAATCATCATATATTCTCTTAGGGATGCCTTCAGCAGATGGAAAAGCACACACATCCGAGGCTCTTGGTAAGGTTGGTTGGGTAACCAAGACCGACTCCTCTGATTCCAGGGCATCAGCTCTCTGAAAAAGAACAGAAGCTTCAAGAAAAGGTGGGCGAGGTTTCATCCCTGCAAAGAGAACTCGGCCTCTCCAGAGCCGAGGAGAGGCTGCTCCAGGACCGACTGCAAGCAGACCACATAAGAGCAGAGAAGCAAATGGCAACCTTGAAGGAAACCATCAAGGTTCAAAGGGACCAGCTTGAAAGGGCCCTTCAGGTACGTAACAGTCTTCACCAACCTCCATTGGCTTCTTTTCCATTTTTGGGGGGTTGTGGAAGATAAATGAGAGGGTTTCTTGAAGACCAGGAGCAGCTGGCTTGGCCCCCAGTTCTACCAAACTCTCTGAACACTTGGAAGTGATTTCTTTTATCCAAATAAGAGATTAAATTTAATTTAATTTTGTCTCTAGTTCGAAATTGCTTCTGGAATTTGTGTTTGCAAGGGGGGGGGAAATGAAACTTTGATTCTGTTTTTGTAAAGTAGACAGGCTTATTGTTATAGAAAAGGGACGCGATGGCTCAGTGGCTAAGACACTGAGCTTGTCGATTGAAAGGTCGGCAGTTCAGCGGTTCGAATCCCTTGTGCCACGTAAACGAGGTGAGCTCCCGTGACTTGTCCCAGCTTCTGCCAACCTAGCAGTTCGAAAGCACGTAAAAAATGCCAGTAGAAAAAATAGGGACCACCTTTGGTGGGAAGGTAAGAGCGTTCCGTGCACCTTTGGCGTTGAGTCATGCCGGCCACATGACCACAGAGACATCTTTGGACAGCGCTGGCTCTTCGGCTTTGAAACGGAGATGAGCACCACCCTCTAGAGTCAGGAATGACTAGCACATATGTGCGAGGGGAACCTTTACCTTTTATTGTTATAAAAACGGCTTTTACATATTGCTGGATAAAAACATAAAGTTGTAGTTGTAATGCTGTTACCTTTGACTATGCCGAAGAGAGTCGGAAGTTGGTGCCTTTTTCCTTTTTTTCTCCCGTTACACTATGCCCCCGCTTTTTCCCCTTCCTCTCTTCTTACTTTTCCATGCTTTTTTTCCTTTGTATTTTATACTTCGATAAACTAATTAAAAAGTTTTAATTGGAAGTGATTGCAGAATACAACTTCAGCTAGTCTCATTCCAACTCCGTGAGGTTCTGTTGTGGGGGGGGGGGGGGGCACGAGTGAAAGGTGGGTTCATTCAAGACCACCAAAGGAATCCATGGCAGTAGTAGGACTTCAGTAGGTCACTTCTGGATTTGCAATCCAGTTTTCTCTCGTAACTCACAACATGGAGTTCTTGGATCCAATCCACGTTGGAAAATCTGAAGCGGGGCCAGACACTAGTATCCTCCAGATGTTTTGTATCAGGCCAGGTCTGCCCCATCTAGCATGGACATCTGGGGCCAATGTGCGTGTGCGTAGCTTTAAATCATGAAGGATCACAATGGAGCATTCACCCCACCCCACCCCACCCCACCCCTCCATGGAATGTGTTTGTTAATTCCAAGGCAGATGGGGGAAAGAAAAATACTCTTCTCCAACCTGCTGTTGTAATTTTAGGAACAGAAGCAAGAAAACTACAGCTTGCAACGAGAAATAACCTCGTTGGAACAAGTGGCCCGAGAGAATCACGAGCGAGCCAAGCGGCTGATGAGGGACCTTGGACGGATCCAAGAAGAGTACGCACAACTCAAATCACAGGTAACACTCTGGAGCCTCCGAACAGCCTCCTCATTTCCCAGAAAAGCCCCCTCTTTGCCTGCTGGCCAGGAGAATGAACTTCTCCCCACAATCTAGAATTAATGTACAAAGTTGACTTCTCCCAGGTATAATATACACAAGCTCTGAGATTTTTGAATAAAGCAGAGGAAAGGGCTATCAGGGCTCTGGGGATTCTCCTGCCAGTGTATAAATTAATACAGGTAGACCTCAGCTTACAACAGTTCATTTAGTGACCGTTCGAAGTTAAAACGGCACTGAAAAAAAGTGACTTAGGACTGTTTTTCACACTTACGACCGTCGCAGCATCCCCAGGGTCACGCAATCAAAATTCAGATACTTGGCAACCGATTCCTATTTATGACGTTCCCGGGATTAAAGTTATCCCTTTTTGCGACCTTCTAACAGGCAAAATCAATGGGGAAGACCGATTCACTCAACAGCCGTGCGACTAATTTAACAACGGCGGTGATTCGCTTAACAACAGTTGGCCAGAAAGGTCGTAAAAGGGGGCAAAGCTCACTTAACCATAGTCTCACTATTAGCAACAGACGTCTAAGGCTCAGTTGTGGCCTTAGGTAAATCGAGGATTACCTGTAATGTAAAAGGAATATAAATTGTAAAATGCGAAAGGAAGCATCATTAGACATAAATCACTTCAGATGTTCACGTTTAATTAGTTGCATTGATTAGATAAACTCATCCACAGGGCTTTCTGGCACTTCCCCCCAGAATCATAGAGATGCAAAACCATTTGGTGTGGAATGACTGTTGTTGCTTCTTGTGTCTTAGGTGAAGAACCAGGAGGACCTGGAGAAACAGCAAAAAGAGCTGAAGGGCACTGTTAAGCTGGTCAGGCTGGAAGTGAAGGACAAAATGAGGAACGGTTTGAAGGATCTGAGCCAATCTCCTCCAGAGTTATTGGAGGATAGAGAAGCTGAGCTGGAAAGGAAGGCAAGGCTTTGGAGCGATGTGGAAAGCCTGAAGGAGAACTACCCATTCACCGAAAACAAGACCAGGATGCTGTTTTGGGATGAAAAGCTGGACCTCTCCAAAGTTCACATCACGGTAAGTTGTGTTAAGAAGCAAAGTTGTACCAAGGATCAGAACAATGGGCCACACACACAATACTGTAGCTAGCATGAATGCCCCACTTGAAGAAGGAACTTCTGCATCTTCTGTGTGAGAAAGTCTAGGTTGTGCACCTATATTAGAAATCCATACATCCAAGCAGCTTGTTCCCACGTGCAGTTGGTCAACGATCCTTCCTTTCCACCCCTCCCCCATTTTTCAGTTTTGGTTACTAACCCTCCAGGTTTATTTCTAATTTAAAAATATGAGATCCATAAGAGGCTGGAAACCATTTGTGGACTTTCTGCATGCTAAATATAATAACATGGTTAATAGAGGGATTTGAAGATTAGTGTAATGTTTAGCTCAACCTGTTGACTGCATTTTCTTCGAGAGATAGATAGAGAAATGATAGAGAAAGAAAGAAAAGGAAAGAAGGAAGGAAAGAAAGAAAAAGAGAAAGGAAAGAAGGAAGGAAGGAAGAAAGAAAAAGAAAGAAAGAAAGAAAGAAAGATAAGCAGTCAACAGGTTGAGCTAAACATTACATGAATACACAAATATATGTATTTGTAAAAGGGGAGAATTTATTGCTTTTTCTTTTTTTCAGCACCCAGCCAGGTTGGATCCTACATGTTCAATATCAAATTTAATTAACCATTTTTCCCTCCTTTTTTGTACACGATTTTTTCCCCTTTTTTGTGGTTGTTCGGTTTGAAGGTGTGTTTCTGTTTTGTTCCATTTTTGTTTGTTTTACTGTTTTGTATTTTATTTTGTATGATAAAACTAAGTTTTTTTAAAAATGAGATCTAGAAGCTTGGTTTTAAATATCTGCTTCGGCTGGAGCTTGTAAGTAGGAGTCCGCATTTAAAATACCCGTGTGATAGCTATTGTCTGACAGTACACAATATCACTGCGTTTGCTAGATGTGTGATAGTTAACCACATTCCACCCTGAATGAGTGTGAAGGGATGTCAAGAGATATCTTCTTGTTTCCCTCAAGTTACTTGCCGATTAGTCTCTTCACCAATTCTTTCTTCTCTCAAGGATGAACAGTGGCGTGGAAAGGCACGCCGGGAACAACTGCAGCACCAGGAAGATCGTCTCAAGGTAGTGACGATTCAGATTTATTTGCTTGGGTGGGGAAGAAATGGTCCAATAGAGACAGTCCTTGACTTATGACAGTTCATTGAGTGACCGTTAGATGTTACAACAATAGAAGGGACATCTTCCCAGCTGATGATTTCACTTCAACATTTTCCATCTAGGCTCAACTCCGGCAATGCATGTCAAAGCAGGTGGAGGCATTAATAAAAGGGAAACAGCAGACTGAGGGCACCCTCCACAGCCTGCGGAGACAAGTCGATGCCCTGGACGAGCTGGTTAGCAGCAGTTCTACAGATTCCTTGTTTCCATCGTTAAATTCCTCGGGATTCACAGATGCAAAGAACCAGGTATGTCGGTCCTGCCACGTGGTTTTCTTCACTAGCATTTGCGTCGAACAATCTTTATGGTAGCGCACGCCACATGTTTATCCCATTCAGCCCGGATCCAAAGGGACCGTCCTTTCTCCGTGGCCTTTTTCTAAAGTGTCCCTATTTTCCCCCCTCGAAAAACAGATTTAATACAGCAGTGTTAAAAACAACAACACTAATCCTTTTGAAAAGGTCCAAAGCCAGCGTTATTTTACGCACTGGATATTTGCAAGGTGTACCAACTTGGACTCAGTGGCTAAGACGCTGAGCTTGTCGATCGAAAGGTCGGCAGTTCAGCATTTCAAATCCCTAGTGCTGCGTAACGGGGTGAGCTCCCGTTCCTTGTCCCAGCTTCTGCCAACCTAGCAGTTCGAAAGCACGTAAAAAATGCAAGTAGAAAAATAGGGACCACCTTTGGTGGGAAGGTAAGAGCGTTCCGTGCGCCTTTGGCATTGAGTCATGCCAGCCACATGACCACGGAGATGTCTTCAGACAGAGCTGGCTCTTCAGCTTTGAAACGGAGATGAGCACCGCCCCCTAGAGTTGGGAACGACTAGCACATATGTGCGAGGGAAACCTTTACCTTTACCTTACCAACTTGGGAAAGATTTAAACCCTTCTTTCTCGGAATGGATGGAGGGCGTTACACCAGTGGTCCCCAACTCCCGGTCCATGGACCAGTACAGGGCCGCGGCATGCCAGAAACAGGGACGCGCAAACAAGCGAAGCCCCACCTGTGGGATGCAGGCATCACGCAAAACCAGGTCCGTGGAAAAATCAGTCCCTGGTGCCCAAAAGGTTGGGGGGCGCTGGGTTAGGCTACGAACGGTAAATATATTCACTTTGGAAAAGTTAATGAACATCGCTTGAAGGAAAAAGGTGTACATGAAAGCATTCGAAATCCATTTAAAGCGTTTTCTACCTAAAGAGCACTTCTGCTTCAAAAAAATCGTACCTGTATGATTTTTAGTTTTTCATGTTGCGTTAAAGTTCTGGTTTGTTGTTTTTTTTCCCTAGTCCACCACAGCTCCTTCTCCCTGGACAACTGCAGACACTTCAGGCCAATCTCAAGTGACTTATCAGTTCAAGACATAGCTTCAACAAAGCAGGTGAGAGGTGCAAGACGCCCCGAGCTGTGAATAGTGTCAAGTTTCCGAAAGATGCCCTAATTAATTCATGAGCCATGATCCAAACTTCAAAGGAAATACAGTCATTTATTAGGAACAACATTCCGGCAATACTCGGATGCAGTTAGGACTGATCTTACGTAGATTTACGTTCCCCTATGACCCTGTCTCTCCCCTCCTCTCTGGCCATGTCATAAATCACATTCTCCAATTAACCACTTTGGCTGGCTGTGAAACCTAACACCCTCCTTCTGATTGCGGTCAGGAAGAATGTATGGAATTCACTTCAGTTCTCCCTCCCTCCTGCTCATGGCAACTTGAAAGCTTTGCAGGTTGACAAATAGTTTTAAACACGGGTTGACCTATTCGAAGGCTGAAGTCACCATTGACATATATTCCTTCTTAGTAGCATGAGAAAGGTTTTCTACTCTGGTCTGGACAAGACCTTAAAAATCCATTGTGATGCTAGACAGTTGCGATAACCAAGGACAAAACTGCAGGTTACAGGTAGTCCTTGACATAACAACAGTTGGTTTAGTGGCTTCAGTTAACAACGGCATTGAAAAAAGTGGCTTATGACCGTTTTTGGCGCTTAATGACCTTTGCTTGGCAACTGACTCACATTTATGATGGTTGCAGTGTCCCGGGGTTCGCGTGATCCCCTTTTGCAAGCAAGGTTGTTAAAATGGGACAGAACTTCACTTAACAATTACCAATTGTTACCAATTACCTCCCACTTAGCAACAGAAAGTTTAGGCTAAATTGTGGTCGTGGAGTAATTATCTGTATTCAGAACCTGGTTGTCTGTTCCGAGCAAAACGCGGCTTCCTTAGAACAAATATTACACAAATAAAATGAAACAACAAGGAATTACATAGGAATTACATTTCCTGCCTCTGAAAGCCTCCGAAACAGCTTCAGAAAAAAAGCTTCTAAAGCTCTGTTTGGGGGCTTCTTTTCTGAAGCTTCGTTTCTGACGCTTTTTTTAGCCTCTGAAATCTCCGTTTGAGAAGCTGGGTGGGGCTACATTCGGCATATATATAACCCAGATTTTCACCCTCTCTTTTTGGGGAAAAAGGTGCGTCTTATACTCCAAAAAATACAGTACACCTTTCCCTAAAGGTTTCCACAATTTTGGCCACTACTGTATAACTTGCTGCTTGGTACTTAAATCGCTTTTTTCGTTATTGTTGTTCTAGAAAAATACTATGCACAAATGGGGTTGGTGAAACCCGGGCCAATCGGACGTGAAATTCATGAAGACTACCTCAATTTATTTACAAGTTAACGGTCTTCGAGCCACCTCAGGTTTTCCGCATCTCTTATAGCAGAATTCTGCCATGCTGAAAGCAACATCAGCGCTTTGTATTCCTTCGGCGTGGAGGGGAATCTAGGAAGAGGTGTGTGTGTCTCTTGCTCTTTTACGTTTCTTTTTAACCACCGTTTAAAAGCAAAAAATGGCTTTTTATGGGATAAAATATTTTGTGAATAAATTTTTTTTTGTACAAAAGGGTTCGACTTTTCGAGTGTCCATGCTCGATGGATTCCGTTATGAGGATTACACTGATATATAATGTCTCAAAAATCTCTTCTCCCTCCTTCATTCAGACAGAAAAAAAAAAATTAAAAAGTAAAATTATAGGGTTTATGATAGCCGTCTAAGGAGCACAAACGGTTGATACCGTCAGTGTATCCATCATTTGCCTGTAGCGAGTTATTTGGGAAGTTTTTAAAAGGCCAGCAATAGCTCACATCATTTAATATTTAAGAAAGAAGTCACACTTTTATCCTCAACCGTATTGTCTTTCTTAAAAAATAAATCAACTAGCAAGAAAAATCGGAGCGAATTCTGAATGCAAGAAACACTCCCATAGATTTCCTCTGTCTTTATGACACCCCATAGAAGAATTCAAAAGTCTCTGGAGATTCTCAGTCATCCAAGGCCATGGTTGTCCCAAAGATGTTTTTCCAAAAGGCAACTGGGCTTGGCTTTGTTTTTTTCCTTGAAGACGTTTCCCTCCTCATCCAAGGAGCTTCTTCAGTTCTGAAGTTTCTGAAGAAGAACTGAAGAAGCTTCTGTTGTGGTCCGCCAGCAGCCTATGGAGCTGGCAGCAGAGTCGGACAGTGAGGAGGCTGGAAAGGAACATGGGCCAGTCCTAGAGTCTGGGGAAGGCTTGCATCGAGGCAGAGAGGGGACCAGGGCCATCTGGGAGTGATGCACGGAGCCTCCAGAGCCAGACAGCAGAGAGGCAGAGGAACAGGGGGAGCCTGTTCCCAGTGCGTGCATGTGCAGAGCTGCCAGAAGGCACGAACAGTTAAAACAAAAGGGACGACTCGGGAGTAAGGCCTGGAGATGATTGGTCCCTCCCATAAGGCTTAAAAGAGGAGCAAAGGCATGTGGGCTCTTTGCATGAAAGCAACGTTGTTAATTCTGTTCCCAGTCGACATCTCTGTTTGATTCTGGACTCCGTGTAGGTCCAGAATCAGTAGGTCTTTGGCAGAGTGTCGAGGGAGATAAAGATTGGTGATTATCCTGAAGGACTTCTTCCAAAGAATTTTTTGCAACTAATTGGGACTCAGTTGTGAATGAAAGTATTTCACAGCTGTTGCAATAAAACAGGTTTTTGGGACCACTGGTGTGTTTTAATGACTCAGGAAGCCTAGGTCACAACAGCTTCCTGGATGAAGAGCGAAAAGTCTTCAAGGAAAAAAAACAAAGGAAGTCCAGTTGCTTCTTGAAAAAGCACCTTTGGGACAATTCAACCCCAACCTTTAAAGGTTTTGAATGGTCCTCCCCCACCCCTTTTAAAAAAGGCATCCGTCTTCAGTCGTCCCACAATTAGCAACCCTTTTATTCCCCTTCCTCAAAGAACAACTAACTCTCACTTTTTTGTCTAGATACAGGTACTTTATTTACAAATATTTAGATAATAGCATTGTTACATTAAATGAGTATACAGCAGCCCAAATAAATCCTGTCACAGAAAATGAAGACCTACTGTAACTTGAATGGGGGTGGGTGGGGAGTAAGAAAAGGATATTGCACCGCTAACAAGCTGCAGGAAGCAAATTTTTGCTTTTGCCCAAATTGCCTTTGCCCAAAACTTTTTTAAGTTGTGTCAACAGGTCATGGTCCCTGGGCAACCCCTCGCCCCCACCCACCTACCCCTACCCCAACGGTGCAATTCAAAGAGCAGAATTCTGTAATACCCATCTACTTTTAAAGAATCTTTTGAGATTTCAGGGAGGGAAGGGGGGGGGGAAACTAGAGCAAAACGAAAAGGGCACGTTGAAGCGAGGGACAGCGCACAAGCTACCCAAATGCGAATCGTTTGCACATCCCAGTTTTTTTTGGCGTTTTGAAGGTTCACACGTCGACTGTACATTATATGCTGGTTATCCCCTTTCGCTTTTGCACACTGGAACCGTGGCCTGGTTTTAGTGTCATCGAGGGTGGGGTGGGGTGGGGGTGTCTAGACGTGGTCGCTTGAGACACTGCGGGCAAAACAATCAAAGGTGCTCATTCTTTTCCCCCAGCCGGGCTTAGCCACGTGTTAAAACCAGATTGCCATTGAGAGAACAATTAAGGGTGGAGAGAGGTTTTGGGGGAGGGGGGGTGACTGCATTCTACGGGCCTACCCTTCTCAGTAAACCCTCTTTCAGGGATCATGGCAGAGAGGAGGTTGGGAAGAGTATCGGCAGCCAAGCCGGTGGAACTGTAGTGTCCAATGCCACAGCAGAGTCCCAACTCCCACAAGAGTAACACTAGCGACTGTCCAGTTTAGAACAGACCCTTCCCAGAAGCATACAGATGTGCGACACAGCCCCTGCCTTCTTGCACAACAAGGCGGGCAACGCAGCTGGAATAAATGCAGAGCTATTTTTTGTGGAGGGGGGGAGAGAGAGGGAAAGCGATTTAGCACATCCTCAAGTACACGAGACCCCCCCCCTGGAGTAACAACAACAACAAAAAGAGAGAGTAGTAGGTTGCTCAGAGGGCAGAGAGGTCCTACCCTGAGTTAGCAATACTCTTGGGCACCGCATTGATGCCAAACGTCATAAAGTTCAACCGGGGTGGACAAATGACCTGTGCTCACTAACCTGGCCGTCTTTCGTGGAGCTGTACAGATAATTTCACTTTTAAGTTTCTAATGCCAGTCATCGAGGACTCTCTCTCCCCTCCCCTCTTCATTAAAATCATATACACAGGATGTATTCGAGTGTCTAGCTTGGTTTGGTCAAAATTTATACATATTTATGCTTGGTTAATAATAAGGGCCCGTATGGGTAAAAAACAGGGAGGAGCGGCGGCGGCGGCAGCCTCAAGACATGGGGTACGTGATAAAGCCGTACCACGTCCTAGACCGAGACAGAGGGGGCCCAGCAATAAGTGTCTTTCTCCCCCCCCACCCAAAAAATCCCCAGCCATCACCACGTTTCCCAACGAAAGCAATCTACGCAGGATCCCGTTCTACCCTTGGAAATAGTTTCATAGCAAATCTTTTTTTTTTCCTTTCTTTTTTTTTCCTTTTCTTTTCTTTTTTGTTTGTTACTAAAAAGGACAGACCAGTTACAGATTGGGAGAAAAAGCTGAAGCTAACAAAGTTAAACTTTACAAGAGACAAAGCTCTGCGGAGAGAGAGAGAGAGGGAGGGAGAGAGAGAGAAAGTCATGAGGTCCAGCATCAGAGCTCTTGTTTTGTAAATCATGAATCGGTGACATCTATTCACAAGGACGATTGATTATGGGGAGGGGGAGAGGAGAGGAGAGGAGAGGAGGGGGGAATAAAGACGTCTAGATTTACCATGCAGGGATGGGGGTATGACTCTACTTGCCTTTGATAACCTGATTACATCTAAGTTTTTTCTCTTTATTTTATTCTTTAGCAGTTTAGTACTGTGTTAAACTCTTGCCTCGGGAGTTTTTAATTAAACCTGGTAAGATGTGCAGAGGAAAACGGAAGCAGCCCCCCCCAAAAAAAGCACTGCTCTTGACAGAGGTGAAAGGTCACAAATAGAGCCAAGGAACCGAGGTCACTAGCAGCCGCAGCCTTCTCTTTGGGGCTGGGGTTCGCTGGTTAGCCGGCCGCCCTGTGGAGCTGAAGGCTTGTGCTGTACCCCTGACTCTGCCGCGTTCAGATCCAGGCTCCCGTCTTGGATATTCTGGTAAATTTTCTTGGCGGCTTCTAGGAATGCGTCTTCCACGTTCTCGCCTCTGGGGGGGGGGGAAAGGACAAGCCGAAGCAGCAGCATTAATTTGGGAGATTTATGACCGATGCATCTGTATTTATAGCTCGGGGTCGAACTGAGGGGTCCTTGGTGTTTCTCCGAGCTTCCTTCCTTTCTTGCAGATGTTTCGTTACCTAACTAAGTCACATTGGCCGTGCCGATGTGCACGATCAACACGGATGATGTTCCCTAGTTGGGTCATGACATCTGCAACAAAACAACGATGCTCAGAAAGCATCAAGGACCCCACCAAATACATCCCTCCCGTTTGAACACTGCACTTTCCATGTTTGGAAGCAGGCGAATAATAATCTTTGTATTACAGTCATAGACCAGAACAAATAAAAACACTCAATAAACACACAATTAAAAATTCTAGAATAAAATAATAAATAACAGATGAATGAATGAATGATGAATGATGAAACCCAGTCTGTCAATTATACATGGTCGAACTATACTAAAATCACAATCCATAAACTCTGTGGCCCGTAGTCGGTTGCTTGTGTTTTGAAGCCGTTACTAGCATTATATCCGTGCAATTTTAACCACCGGCATTGGAATAAACCGAAATGATTCTTCTGCTGCCAGTAAGATGTTCTCACTCTTTTTTTTTTTTTGTTTTGGCAGAGAAAAATTTTCATGGGGAAAGAATCTCAATTTCTAAAGCTCCTGTTTTCTTTCGAATTAAGAAAACCCCCGGGTTTTTCCTTTTCCTGCTACAATTAAGAAATTACACTGACAAAAGGCACTTGCTTTGCCAGGCAAATGGTGAATTCATTATCTATGAAACAAATGTTTTTTTTTTTTTAACGTACAGCTGCCTACTTACGTTTTTGCGCTCGCTTCAAGAAACAGCAAGCCTGTTGGGAGAACGAAGTGCAAGTTTAACTTGGGTTGGGAATCAAAATATACACCCCTCTTTCGGATCTCACCAACCAGCAAGCTGGTGTCTCCAAAGTTAACAAGGTCCTGGATACAATCCGAATAGCCGGGTCCATGCATACCACTTCACCACCCAGAGGGGACCTAAATTGGCATTGCTCTGCGCCGTCTTTCTGCCGAGCGCTACCCACCCTCCGTTCTCCTTAGGCTGAGCAGTGGTTAGAATGCAGCATTGAAGGCTAATTCTGCCCACTGCCAGGAGTTCGATCCTAACCGGCTCAAGGTTGACTCAGCCTTCCATCCTTCCGAGGTTGGTAAAACGAAGACCCAGATTGTTTGGGGGGAGGGGGGCGGCAAGAGGCTGACTCCGTAAATCGCTCAGAGGGTTCCGTAAAGCACTATGGAGCGGTATATAAGTCTAAGCGCTACTGCTATTACTCTGGAGCAGCCGTACGTACCATTCTCTTCGGCAAATTGTTTGGCTTCCTCGTATGTCACGTCTCTCTGGGCTTCCAGATCTGCTTTGTTTCCTATAAGGATGATCACCTGTATCCAGAACGAGAGAAAAAAAAACGGGACATTTAACAGAAATCTAGCAGTGGACAAAAAGAGCTAGTCACGGGTAACATCTTTTCCCCCCCCAAAGGATCCTTTTACAGAGCATGCCTCATCACAGCTAAGAAACACCATTCCTCTCTCCAAGAGACTAAACACTTGGGGGGGGGGGGCAGAGGGACAGGATACGACGACTGGAATCGGGCAACGCAGAAATGCAAATGCTTTTAATTAACGGACAATCTGGTTTCCTCATTAGGCGAAGGAAGCCGTTTTAAGGAACTGCTCATTATGAAATTAACACAGACGTGCTAGAAGAGGAAGTAAGAAACCTAGCGAGCTAGAATGACTGATGTAGTTAACCACATTGTCAGGAGGAAAAGTTAACCAAGGCTGTGCAAAAGGGAAGGAATCCCCTCCCTTTGGAATACGAAGCTGAGAAAAAAAGTTCATTTTCAAAACTATCTCCCTTAAGCAAATCGTAATGGACTCTGTACAGCTGTTCCACCACAAGACTTCTAGAGGCAGAAGGGAAGAGGCAAAGGCCCACTAGGAAAATAGAAGGTATATTTCTAGGCGTCTGGAGGCTAAAACATGAAGAACGGTTGCAGGAATTGGGTAGAAGAGGGAGTCAAGCTATTCTCCAAAGCACCAGAAGGCAAGACAGGAAATGAATCAACCTAGAACTGAGGAGGAATTTCCTGACATCTCAACCTGGAGACAAGCAGACCCTAACCCAAAAGTTTCTTAAATTGTGACACTCACAGTATTTGGGTTAGTTAGATTCCTTGCGTCCGTCAGCCAGCTGCTTAAATGGTTATACGTACTTCTTCTGCGAGACAAAAAGGAAGCAAACATTTCATCACGTTTATAAAAACGCCCGCTCGGTTTTTCTTGTCTCATTAAGACGATCACAGCGAGAGAGAAAGTCCAACTTCGTCCCATTTGGTCCGAGAAAGATTCAGTATTTGGGTTCTTCCCTCCCCACGCCTTTTTCTACTCTGTCTATCAAAACGAGGTGCCTGCCTGGAGGAGCTTTTTAAACATCGATTTGAGAACGTTGGAAAATGATCATCTGGCTAAAAGGAGCGGGTTGGTACAATAGGTCTGACTCCTGCTTTGTTCAAGAGTCACCAGTCACCAACTGGTGGTCCGAGAAAATTTTGGTGGTCTGCAGAAAAATTATTTGCATTTTTTATATTGCACTAAATCAGGGGTCCTCAAACTATGGCCCCTGGGTGGGATATGTGCAATGAACGCTTGTATTGCTGCAGAGAGTCTCCCCCTTCGGGGTCTTTTTGTGGGGGAGAAATTCCGACTTGGGGTCTGCTTCAGCCTCCTGGTGTGGGGCTTTGGGCGAAGGCTGGAGGGAAGTGCCACTGGTGGCGAAGAGCCGGAGGGCCTCGTTCCAGTGGGACTGCATCATGGCCTGGAACTGGCTGACCATCTCAGCCTGCTGAGCCTCCAAGCGCCGATACCTGGCCTTGCACTCCCGCAGGTCTTCCCTCTGCTTGGAAAGCCTATGCTCCTAGTCCTCAGTGCTTCTGCTGAGTCTCCTTCTTGGTCAGATCCAATTTGAACTGAGCCAGCTGTTTTGCCAACTCTTTCTTGTGGTGGTTGCTTAGCTCCAACAACTGCTTTCTGTTGAGGCCCTAAGGAGCCCGGGCGGGCAGGCAAGGAGTAGAGAATACAGGCTGGCAAGGCGCCCCTCGACATGAGTGATGTCGTGTTGGCCACGCCCACCCAGTCACATGCCCACCTTGCCATGCCCACCCAGCCGGTCATTAGGCAGATCATATTAGTGGTCTGCGGGATTTGAAATTATGAATTTACTGGTCCCTGAGTTCCGCAAAGGTTGGCGACCCCTGTTCCAGAGGGTAGTGTCAGCTAAAAGAGCACCAAGCTAAAACCACAGTGGGCTAAGAGACAGGCGACCCTGGGTTCAAACCACAGCAAAAGGGCATCTCTACCACCTTACCTAGTGATATCATAAACCATAAGAGCTCCCGCAGCTCCTCTGTAGTAGCTCCGTGTGACAGCTCTGAATCTCTCTTGTCCCGCCGTGTCCCAGATCTGCAGCTTAATTTTCTGGCCGCTAACTTCAATTATCCTGGTGCCGAACTCGACTCCAATTGTATGGGGACAATCTGCCATAACTGCGAGGCAAAACGAAACGACGAGAAAGTATTTACTACCTAAGGCAAGGCTTCTGTTCACAGGGATTCCCACAAAACGAGGAGTCGTATCTGAAGGCTTGCTTAACCCACCTTCTCAGCTAAAAGGCAGCCCCAAAATCAACAGTTATGGTTTTTTTCCCCATTACAGTGAACAATTAATGTCCAACTTGTTCTACTGCATATTTTCATAGGTAAAGGTAAAAAGTTCCCCTTGCACATATGTGCTAGTCGTTCCCGACTCTAGGGGGCGGTGCTCATCTCCGTTTCAAAGCCGAAGAGCCAGAGCTGTCCGAAGACGTCTCCGTGGTCATGTGGCCGGCATGACTCAATGCCAAAGGCGCACGGAACGCTGTTACTTTCCCACCAAAGGTGGTCCCTATTTTTTTACATGCTTTCGAACTGCTAGGTTGGCAGAAGCTGGGACAAGTCACGGGAGCTCACCCTGTTACGAGGCGGCACTAGGGATTCGAACCGTTGAACTGCCGACCTTTCGATCGACAAGCTCAGCGTCTTAGCCACTGAGCCACCCCAGCTCTAGTCGTCAGCAAATGTATACATCTTTGGTTGTTAAAGCCTATCTCTGAACAAAAATTCACAACATTAAACCAATAGCGATCGCGTATTATGGTGAAATCCAGACCATTCCCATTCTGTGAGGCAGCTTTAATAACAGAAGCCTAAAATTAACACGTTGGGAAAGCGGAGAGATAAAGACACTCTTGTAGTTTACTACTTTCAATTAGAAAGAGATGTGAACACTTACACTTCTTTTCTGTAAACTGATGGAGCAAGCACGACTTTCCTACACCCATATCACCTTAAAATGGAAAAAAAAAAAAAAGAGAGAGAAGAGAGAGGAATATTTAGAATTGAATTGCTGCCTCAACTTAGTATCTACTGCAGAAGTTATCTATGGAGCCATTTTTCTCCCACACAGACGGTGTTTACACCATCAGCATTCCTCCTTAATAAAAGTGCCAAGTAAGTTTTTTTTTAAGGGGGTGGAGGGAATGAAAAGAAAAGTAGTGCATAATGCTATTGAGAATTGCTCTGGAAATATTTTTTCTTCTGGTATTGCTATTACCGAATTTGTAACTGGGAAGTAAGGAGAGAAAAGTTCCTACTTCTTAAATTTCTTCGAAAGAGCACAGATGAGTAACATGAATACTCTCTGTCTTCCAACTCAGGAACGTAACTTTATGTTTTATACAACTTGCTAAGCGTTAGACATGGTTTATAAACACACTAAAATCAAAGAAGCCACTCGGGCCTGATCTTATTGTGTGCGCACATGTCTCACAATTAGACTAAGAAAGATCTCAAATCACTATGAAATGTAATCCTGGACTTACAATTGGTTATTTGGGGCCAGAATTTCTGCTTGCTTGTTTGGAAGCAAGCTGGGAAGATCACAAATAGCAATCCAGGCCCCTGCAACCACTGTAAATCTATGCCAGTTGTCAAGTTCCCAAATTTTGATCCTGCGACGGTCGTATGTCCCTTTTTGTTCAGTGCTGGCGTAGTTTTTTAGTTTTTTTAATTTTATTTTTATATAAACAGCCCATTTTCCATTAACCAGTGTGTCGTATGGGGTACACATATTTTGTGCCAACATTAAAATACACAGTCTTATTCATTGTTTAATCTCATCTTGGCTTAATTTCCAATATCTGAAGTATCTAATATTATAACAATCCCACTGTGATTTATTTAACTCTTATTAATTATATGAACTATTAATACATTTTCTATACTTTAAATAACTTCTTTTACTATTAATTCTTATGTCTATTCCCCAACCACCGGTAAAAAGATTCCCAAATTGTATAATAATCAGTTTGTTCTTTCTCTTTGATAGCCAGTGTCAATCTGTTCATTTCTGCACGTTCTAGTATTTTCCTAATCACATTCTCATCTGTAGGGATCTCTTCACTTTTCCAATTTTGTGCAAATACAATCCTAGCTGCTGTTATAACATGAATAATCAAATATACATTTTCGTTACTAGCAGTCGATAAATGAATGTTTGTGAGTTGAGGACTACCGTATTTTACGCAGTATAAGACACACCTCCCTTTTTTGGTGAGGAAGACAAGAAAAAGAACTCTGCCTCTGCCTCCCAGCAAACCCCTGCAGCCTGAAACAGCTGAGAGTTGGGAGGCCGATCCAAGAGACAATCAATTTGTGCTAATTAGGCTGTGCTGAAGCTGAAATGGGCTGTTTCTTCTTGCTGCTTGCTGCAAGGAGGTAAATTGCTAGGAGGCAGAGGCCAAAGGGTGGGGGACCAGTGGATGGGCGGGGGTTACATTCGGTATATAAGACGCACCCAAATTTTCACCCCCTTGGGGGGGGGGGAAGGTGCGTCTTATACTCAGAAAAATACAGTATTTCGAAGCTGGATAGCAACAGAGTCTAAAATCACATACAGGAACGAATGAAGTTTACCCCTAGGAGACTATTCCACCAGTTCTCCTATGTGTATATCATGTTACTATCTGGCGTAGTAGCCTTTGCCCAATACCAGACACAAAACAAGGATCAAATGTCAGCACCACAGCAATCACTGAAGGAAGTGTCTAAAAGGGTAAATCATTCTACCTCACTTCCTGGCTATGAAATCCAAAACTCAGCCAGACTGAAAACACTGAGAGATTTACTCGTGAAATAATGCAGCAGTCTAAGCATTAAAAATAAACCAACTCTTGCTTTTGGATGAATGGGGCCAAACCCTCAAGACCACTGAATTAAAAGCGCCACAATCAATGTGTCAGTGACTTGTGGCATTGTATGCCACCTTTCCACCGAGCCTTGCATGCCAGAGATGGTTCAACAGATCCCGAAAATAGATCGCTTTTTTTTTTTCATTTTACTTCTTGTTGGTAGGTTGGGCCCTGCCAGCATAAACGTCTTCCCACAACTTTTATTATCCCAAACCAGCTGCAGTCAAAAGCATCTGGAAGTGTGCTGTAGCAGAAATAATGAGACATTTCCAAAGGAGGTTTAGACTTACCGATAATGATGTATTTAAAGATGTAGGAATAGTTGTAAGGTGCAGTTGCCATTGTGGCACTAGAAAAGAAAAAAGAGAAACAGATTAACATGATTATCCTTGGATCACACATTTCCTGTTTTGTTTATTGTGGGGGTAATAAACTGACTTTATATAAAAAGAACACCGCTTAGGGGGGGCCCGAAAGCCCTACTAGACAGGTATATACAAAAGTATGAAGGCTATTGCTTAACGCATTGTAAGCTGCCCTGAGTCTCCGGAGAAGGGCGGCATATAAATCGAACCAATAAATAAATAAATAGTTGGTCCTTAAGAGAAAAGAACCACAGAACCCCAAAACTCCAAAGTCAACAAATATACAGACTCCTTGTATATTTACTGAGATAGCAATAGCAGTAGCACTTAGACTTATACACCACTTTACAGCCCTCTCTAAGTGATTTACAGAGTCAGCCTCTCGCACCCAACAATCTGGGTCCTCATTTTACCAACCTCGGAAGGATGGAAGGCTGAGTCAACCTTGAGCCTGATGAGATTCGAACTGCCAAACTGCAGGCAGCCGGCAGGCAGCAGAAGTAGCCTGCAGTACTGCACTCTAACCACTGCGCCACCATGGCTCATAGATATGTAGTCCTCGACTTACAACTCTCCATTTAATGACTGTTCAAAGTTACGATAACATTGGAAAAAGTGACTTATCACGGTTTTTCACACTTACACCTGTTTGCAGCATCCCCAAGGTCATGTGATCAAAATTTGACCGCTTGCCGACGGACACATATTTATGACGGTTGCACTGTCCTGGGGTCACACCATCCCTTTTTGCGACCTTCTGACAAGCAAAGTCAATGGGGAAGAAGCCAGATTCACTTAACAAATGTGTTACTGATTTAAGAACTGCAGTGATTCACTTAACAGATGCGGCGAGAAAGATCGTAAAATGTAGCAAAGCTCACTTAACGAATGTTTCACTTAACCACATAAATTTTGGCCTCAATTGTGGTCCTAACTCGAAGACTACCTGTATTTCAAAGAAGGAAATATTAAAATTGCAAACTTTTAAAACTATGCTGCAATGATTGTAAGTGTGAAAACGGGAGTAAGTCACTTTTTCCGGTGCCGTCGTAACTTTGAACGGTCACTAAACGAACTGTTGTAAGTCGAGGGCTACCTGTGTTGAAGTTCACATAATTTTCATGATTTGCCCTCCAATCCACAAACATCAGTAGCGTGTTCATTCCTTTTAAGAATCCAACTTTAGCGTCAGATCGCTGCTCCTTCAAAAAAATATCATGGAAGTTTTTTTTCCCACAGTGGACACACCTAGATATTTCAGGAGATTCCATGCGCCCTTTCTCAATTTCCTGGCAGGATAGCGGAAGAATTTATTAAGCAATTAACCCAACACCATGCAATGCTAACGTTGCCCTACTCCCCATTATTTTAAGCCTCTTATCTCTTTTTCCTGCGAGACATTATCTAACTGCGCCTTTAATAAAAGAACGTAGCGAAAAAGATTCTCAAGCATTCACCAGGCTATTTACCTATTTCTAAGTCTTGAATAAAGTTTGCGCATACGTTTAGGGATGAAGGCACAAGCCCAGGGGTGAAATGCTACCGGTTTGGGCCGGTTCGCCTGAACCGGTAGTAAAAATTGCTACTGGTTCACCGAACCGGTAGTAAAAAAAAGTTCCGAAGATTAGCTGTGCGACGCGCAATTGTTGGAACTTTTTTAAAAAACTTTTTAAAGCATTTTATGTATTTACTTATTTACTTTTTAAAGCATTTTTATTTACTTACTTTTTAAAGCATTTTATTCATGTATTTACTTACTTACTTTTTAAAACATTTTATTTATGTAAGTATTTACTTACATACTTACTTATGTAAGTAAAAAAATGCTTAAAAAGTAAAAAAAAATGCTGATGATGGAGCGTCGCTCAGCTGATCTTCAGAACTTTTTTTTTTTTTAACTTTTTAAAGTATTTTTAACTACCAGTTCCGGAGAACCGGTAGTAAAAAAATGCTTTAAAAAAGTTTTTTAAAAGGTTCCCAAGATCACGCGCCAAAGCTGATTCCCCCCACCTCACTACTCTACTTACCTTCCCAAGCCTCCTTTTGGTGCGCACTGCGCAGCCAGCAAACCAATAGTAAACCAGTTCAGATTTCACCACTGGACAAGCCTCATATGTAAGCTATGTTAGCCAGTCTGTTTTTTTTTTTATTGAGCAAATTAAAATAATAGAACCAGACCTACATTACAGAGATATCAAAGGAAAGGCTAACATATTAACAGAATATGACTAATAAAATAAATTCACTGAAAACAAGGAAGAGGAGACCACAGTGAACGGAAATTCATTGGAAATGAATTTTATTTATTCCATTTCTACAGCCAATTCAAGCAGGCAAATGAAATGTTGCTTTGGGACAGGCAAAAAAAACCCCCGATCGTATTAGTAAAACCAAGTGGCAAGTCGATTAATTTTAAAGAGTGCATGGCTACTTTTATTTATTGTCCAAAACAAAACAAAACAAAAAAAGCTTAAATTGCTTAAGGAGATTGTGAAACCTATATACTCTTGTAGGTTTTGAAAGAAAAATAAAAAGCTGGCATCCGGAAGGGCAATGGAGAGACAATCTGTCTTGGAGGAGAAGCCAGAATGCATAATTGCTAGGTCCTTTCCCACTAGAAAATAAAATACAATAAAATAAAATCTGAGCTCAGCCTGATGGTTTAGGTCATTTCCCCTCCTCAGAAGATGTGATTTCCCAAGAGTAAGCGTCTTGTAGTAAGCACGTGATCGTCATCTGATTGGAATCCATCCGTTCTATACAGAAGGGCATGCATAGCGTGGTGTGGCAGATGCAATATCCACCAGTGAGCCCGTCGTATGAATGAAACGCACTATTTCAGGCCCTTAGCCATGCTGGCAAACACCTTAAGGCACCGCTTTGATAATTCTTTGCAAGAATGGCCTTCAAATGTGTGTCGTCTTGCACACACCCTGGTGCAGAGCCAAGATGCACGCTTGTTTACAACAGCAGGTTTGAGAATTCAAGAGGGGTGTGTGTGTAAATCTCAAACAGCAAATCATGTCCTGGTATTCAGGTAGTCCTCAGCTTACGACCACAACTGAGCCCAACAATTTCTGTTGCTGAGCGAAACGCTGGTTCAGTGAGTTTTGCCCTGTTTTATGACCTTCCTGGCCGCAGTTGTTAAGTGAGCAACACGGTTAAGTGACTCTGGCTTTCCCCATTGGGCTTTGCTCATCCAGAAAGTCGCAAAAGGGGAATCACGTAACCCCGGGACACAGCAATTGTCATAAATACAAAATACAAACCGATTGCCAAGCACCTAAAATTTTGATCACATGACCATGGGGGATGCCGCAACGGTCATAAGTGTGAAAAACGGGTCATAAGCCCCCTTTTTTCCCCAGCCCCATTTGTAACTTCGAACTATTAAATGAACGGTTGTAAGTCGAGGACCACTTGTGCCTAACTCCTCTTTCAACAGCATGCGGCTCAAATCAGTGCATATTTACACAGACGTCTCAAGTCCGCAGCGCGCTTAAGGTAAACCCAAAGTGAACTTTTCTCTTCGTTAAAAGCTGGTAGGGTTGCACTGCTTTTATTTTTTTCCTTTATGGCGATTGTGCCACTGCCCTTTGGGAAAGCCTGCCCCGACAATACACAACCAGTAATGTGTGCAAAGTTCAGAGATTGCCATGGCAAACTGTAAAGGGCCTTAAATGTTCTTTATTTAGTGAAGGAAGAATTGTACCAAGCCACTCCCTTGTCTGGCAGTAGCCACTGAAAAGGCAGCACACATACCGGGAAAACGGACGAAGCTTCCTAAATATTTATTTATTGGTTTGATTTATATGCCGCCCTTCTCTGTACACTCAGGGCGGCTTACAATGCGTTAAGCAATAGCCTTCATACTTTTGTATATACCTGCTTAGTAGGGCTTTTGGCCCCCCCAAGCGGTGTTCTTTTTTATACAAAGTCAGTTTATTGCCCCCCACAATCTGGGTCCTCATTTTACCTACCTCGAAAGGATGGAAGGCTGAGTCAACCTTGAATATGACAAAACCATGGCAAATCTCCAAAGTGAGACCACTGACAACTGGAGGGAAATCCTCACACATTTACAACTTTAGAGGTTATTCTAGTAAATCCTTTCAGTGTCCAGGAATTGCAAATGCAATGCTAAGAATGCAAGATCTGGGGTCAACGTTTCCTATTTCGTGCCTTTTGGATGTTTTGAGAACATTAACTGCCCCTCAGCCCAGGTAAATATAGCCAAAATTGGGATGACGAGTTTGCAGGTCGCAAGGCTGGTGTTAAAGAAGGCAACTGTCCATATTTTACTGCACAATCCTTCCTTCGGGCAAAATCTGAATTTTAACAAGTTTCACACCTTCGCAGGTGTGAATCGCCCCCAAGCAAACCAAATGAACCAAACAGACCCAGCAACCAAAAGCTGAAATTTTAGCAAAGGGCACCACCCCTAAATATGAAAGATATGCCCGATAACCCCCCTTAACCTATGATATAGTAATTTGTCAGGAATCTTGCATAAAATATTCTTAGCCTGAGTAGAAAAATCTGCAAAACAAGTTTATCAGTTTACAGGATTCTTAACTGGTTTTTCCTTATTAGAAAGATACTTTTGTTAATTTGAAAAACAAACATGCAAAGTTAGTTTGTTGCATCCATACCACGTTGTTACAAGGAAGCGTAACTGTACAAGCAACACATATGCTGATTAAAGGATAAGAGGTGTGCACAGCTATGTATTCATAGCCAAGTGCACAATATCTCACTGAAGATCTACTATGTGTAAAGCACTTAACACATTTTTTTTTAAAAAAAGGAAAGAAATCAGTGCAATAGATAGAGCAGCAATCCTTACCACTTTCAGTTCAGATTCCAGGCAATTTTTTTTTTCCTGTTTCAAGCATTCCTACCCTTAGCCTACTTAAGAAGGACTTATCCAAAATCCTCAATCTCTTTTAAAGCGCCCATTGCCCCCCTTCCTCTGATGTAATATGTACAAGACAAGTGGCATTCACTGCATATCGTTGTGTAGTTGTGTTGTAGGCTAGCTTACAAATAAAGGCAGCTTCACAGACACAGGTTTCTAACTTTCTCCAACAGAAAGAAGAAAGAGGCATCCTTGACACCATCAGGACTTGGGGCTCCAGGACAACCAAGGTAAAGAATTTAAACGAGGGCCAAAAACATTGCTTCAACAAACTGTAGGCAAATAGGGACCACTCTCCAGAAGCAGCTGTAACGTACTTCAATCCTTAGAAGGCATCCACTCCAGGCATCCTGAGCATAACATGCTGTTTGTTCATTTATTGTTTAGATTTTGATCCTAACTTTATCACTTTATAAGTGATCAACATGACAAACATACCTAATACCACTTCCCCCCTGCTATGCTTATTGTTTATTAAATTTATATGCCGCCCATCTCAACGGTAACAACTCTGTGAGGTGGGTTGGGCTGTTATATGCAGTTCATGTCAATCACATCAACCCTGTGAGGTGGGTTGGCTTGGGTGTCATCCAAATTTAAACCAATTAGTTCCAAGGAATATGGTCTAATGCACTTTCTAAAGTTTTTACACAGGGGTGCTGTCCAACCTTGGCAACTTTTTTTTTAAAGATTTGTGGACTTCCAACTCCCAGAATTCCCCAGCCAGCACGGGAAGTGAACTCTGGGAGTTGAAGTCCACAAGTCTTTAAAAAGTTGCCAAGGTTGGACATTCCCTGTTTTTTATTTAACCCATCGAGGTAGATAGGTTCCTGCTGTAAAAAATATTGGATTGGAGGGAGAATGGAAGAGAAAGGGAAAGAGAAGGGAAAGGAAGGAAGAAAAAGAGAGAAAGAAAAAGAAAAAAAAGAAAGAGAAGGAGAGATATGGAAGGAAGGAAAGATACAGAGATGGATGGAAAAGGAAGGAAGAAAAAGAGAAAGAAAAAGAAAGAGAAGGAGAGATATGGATAGATATGGAAGGAAGGAAAGAGACGGATGGAGAAGGAAGGAAGGAAGGAAGAGAAAGAGAGAAAGAATAGGAAGAAAGAGAAAGGAAAGAAAGGGAGAGATGGATGGATATGGAAGGAAGGAAGGAAAGACGGATGGATGGAGAAGGAAGGAAGAGAAAGAGAAAGAAAGAAAAGAAAGAAAGAGAAAGAAAAGAAAGGGACAGATATGGCTAGATATGGAAGGAAGGAAAGAGAAAGAAAAGAGAAAGAAAAGAAAGAAAGGGACAGATATGGATGGAGAAGGAAGGAAGGAAGACAAAGAAAGAAAAAGAAAAAAAGGAGAGATATGGATGGATATGGAAGGAAGGAAAGACAGATGGATGGAGAAGGAAGGAAGAGAAAGAGAAAGAAAGAAAAGAAAAAAGAAAGAAAAGGGAGAGATATGGATGGAGAAGGAAGGAAGAGAAAGAAAAAGAAAGAAAGAAAGAAAGAAAGAAAAAGAAAGAAAGAAAAGGAGAGATATGGACGGAAGGAAGACCAGAAATGCTCCTCCAACACCCTTCAACCCTTCATCTATGCCCAAAGATCGCAGCTCCTCTAGGCCTCCATCACCAGGATCCCCTCTCCCCCCACTATGGGTCTGTCTGGGGCAGAGAGGAAGGGCTGGGAACGATGGGATCGGGGAGGGCAGAGCAAGGAAGGGGCCTCCCAGAGCCATGGAGAATGGGCAGGAATGGGAAGCGTGTGTTTCTATTTGTGTTTTCCCTTAAACGGCTGGGGATGATGGGAGGTGCAGAGGCCGCAGTTGCCCTGCCCTGGAGGCGGCGGGCTGGGAACGATGGGCGCGATAGTCACCATCCAGCCTCCCCCCATTTCCTCCTCCTCCTCCTCTTCCGCCAGGCCTGGCGCCCGCGGGCGCACCTTTCCCCCCCCTCCCACCGCCGAGACTCCGAGGGGGGAGGCGGTGTCCTCTCCCCGTTGCTAGGCAACCCCCGGGGGAGGCCTAGAGGGCCGGAAGGCCTGGGCTTTTCGGCCCGTCCGGATTTACCTGGGCTCGAGGGGCTGGTGACTGGGCAGCTTGGCTGGGGAGGCAGCGGAGGCCACAGCAGCGTTTCGTCCCGGGCGGGAGCCGCGGAAGGGCGCAAGAGGGGGCGACGGGCGGCGGCGGGGAGTCTCCTTCTTCTCCTCCTCCTTCTTCTTCTTCTTCCCTCTTTCGTCGCCGCCGCCCCTCCTCTTCCCTCACAGGCACCCGCGATCCAAGATGGCGGCGGGCCTTTCCGCTGGGTGGCCCCGCCCACTTCGCGCGGGGCGGGGCCCGGAGGCCGGCCGGCCCAAGTCTCTGTCTTCTCTTCTCTTCTCTCTCTTTTTGCCAAATGATTCCCTCCTCCCCGCAAAAGAAGGAGGAGGGCGGGCGACGAGAAACAAAAGTCAACGCAGGGAGGGCGGGATGCGGCAGTGGAATGGACCAATCGGAAGGGAGCAGGAGGAGGAGGAGGCGGGCGGGTTGGGGTTGGTCGGGGAAGTGGTTTCGCGGTTTGAGGAATTTTTTTTTAATTTTTTTTTTTTTAAGGAAAGCGCGGAAGCCTCACAGCGCCTGCGTTAAGGCGGAAAAAAAAAAAGAAAAAAGAGCCGGTTCTTGTTTGGGGGGCAGCTTAAAAAGAGGAGCGTGCGCAGACCGGAGAGAGGAGACGCATGCGTAGACTGGAGATGGGGGGGGGAGACGCACACGCAAATTGAAAGGGGAGGAGCCAGCGGCCACAAATGGGCGGGGCATAATACAGGATGATTTTTTTTTTTCTTTTTAAAAAAGTCATGGAGTTTGGCCAATGAACTCCGTCCGCAGTCGTTCTGGCTCCGCCCACTCGCTTAGCCCCACCCCTCCCATCGGCTTGTATTCAACAGGGAATTCTTCCCCTGCTTGACCAGTTGAATTTCTGCCTGCAATGTTGATTACTTCCTAGTCAAGATCTTTTTTTGGGGGTGTGTGGGGGAAGGGCTATTCCAGGACATGCATTTAAAAAAAGTTTATTTTATAATTCCTAAAGTTAACGCATAAAAACATGTATTAACTGATCATTAATGATCAGGATTCGAACTCAGAGCCGCATCAAGCAGGAGCCCTTGTGAGACTATCTAATAAAAACGACAACGCATTAAAAAGAATTCATTTGCTAGAGCCTAGCCTTCTGCATTGGGTTAAGTTAGCAGTAGCCAGTTTAATGCACCGTGCAAAACCCAAACACGTGTTTGGGCGAGGAGGCTCGTGTGAATCCGACTTCGCGGGGGGGGGAGGGGAGACTTTCTGGTTCATGAATAAACTTAAGAAAAAGAAACGGAAAAGAAATGCAGGGTGCACCACTTTTCCCTCGCCACGAGATGGCAGCATTGCTCCACGGTTGGGAAAGGGAGGCCTGCAAACCTGCGTTCCCCTTTAAAAGGAGAATTAAAAGAAAAGCTTAAACTGATTCAAAGAATGTTGCACACTTGTGCAAAATGAGCTTCTTCCCTTTGCAACCCGCAAGTGTCTGGAATTCAGGGGGAGATGCACTCCCATGAGAATCAAGCATGCGCAGATAGGGGGAAACTAAAGGGGAGGAGCCAGTTCCCCGAAGTGGGCGGGTATAACACACAGCCCCCCCCCCAAAATTTTTTTTAAAAAAAGTCGAGGAAATGCATCCACAGTGGTTCTGGCTCCGCCCACTCGCTTAGCCCCTCCCCTTCAGCATGCATTCAACAGCCAATTCCTTCACTAGTGGAATTTTTCCCTGCAAGTATACTAGGCTAGCCCACTCCTTAAATCAAAGTTTTTGGAGGGGAGGAGGTTCAGGGAGTACATTAAAAAAAATCATTTTATTATTCATAAGCTTAACACACAAAGCGTTTATTTATGAAACGATCCTGCCGAGGACATGAGCAGGATTCGAACTCCGAGTCGCATCAAGCAGGAGCCCCTTGGGAGACGATAGAATAAAATAGTCGATTAATTAATTCCTTTTCTGGGACCTAGCCGCCTTGCAATCGGATAGTGGCAAGTTTAATGCACCGTGCAAAACCCAAACACGTGTGAATCACTCGCTAGGCGAGGAGACTCGTGAGAATCCGACCTCGGGGAGGCTTTCAGATTCATGAAATGCTTTGTAAATAAGTTTTTTTTAGAAACGGGGGGGGGGAAAAAGTGCAATGCACCACTTTTCCTTGGCCACGAGATGGCAGCATTGCTCCATGGTTGGGATGGGGGGGGTGCCTTGAAACCTGCGTTCCCCTTTAGAAGGAGAATAAAATAAATAAAAAGTTTTAGCTGCTTAGGCATTTAAAAGATGATTGCACAGTTGTGCGAAATCATCTTCTAACTTGTTGCAACTTGCAAATGCAAATGCCTTAATGTGATTGAATTGAATTCAGGGGGAAGATGCACTCCATGGGAATCAAGCATGCGCAGGTAGGAGGAGCCAAAGGGGAGGAGCCAGCCTCCCAAATGGGCGGGTATAACCCCCCCCACATATACACAAACAAAGATTTTTTTAAAAAAAAGTCGAGGAGCTCTGTCCGAAGTTCTGGCTCCGCCCACTCTCTTAGCCCCTCCCCTTCAGCTTGCATTCAACAGGGAATCCCTTCCCTAGTTGTTTCTGCCTGTAAGTTTTCTGGATAACTCAAAAGAAAAAGAAGAAAGTTCACTCCATAGGCAAGGTTTTTTTTGGGGGGGGGGGGGGGGTTTCGGGGGGGGGTGTACATAAAAAAAAATATTTTATTATTCATAAAATGTCCATTGATGCATTGATCCAGCCAAGGGCATGAGCAGGATTCGAACTCGGAGCCACGTAAAGCAGGCGTCCCTTGGGAGAAGAAATAATGAAATGTCCATTCATAAAAGGATAATAAAATTCCTTTGCTGGAGCCTAGCCTTCCGCCTGGAATAGTAGCCAGTTTAATGCACCTTGCAAAACGTTTCCCATTGCTTAGCACAGGGGTCAGCAACCTGCGGCTCTGGAGCCACATGCGGCTCTTTGGACCCTCTGCTGTGGCTCCCTGTCAGCTGATCCCACCACTGGCTGGCCCTCCCCTTCCAGTCACTCCTCACCTGGCCTGAGAAGGTAAGGGCGATGGCAGGGGATGGAGAAGCGGCCAGGGCAGAGACAGAGAGATACAGAGAGAGGGGGAAAGAGAGAGAGAGAGAGATACAGAGAGAGAGGGAGGAAGGGGAGAGAGAGAAATGTCAAGGATTTTGTGGTTCCCGGTGTTTTTTAACAACTGGTTCTCTGCCCTAATGACCGGCTGGGTAGGCGTGACTAGGGGGGGTCATGTGACTGGTGGAAGTGAGTGACACCGGGTTGGCCACGCCCACTCAGGTTTTGTGGCTCCCGGTGTTTTCTTTTCTGTGGGAAACGGGTCCAAATGGCTCTTTTGAGTATTTAAGGTTTGCAGACCCCTGGCTTAGCAAGACAGGGGTTAAGTGAGCCTGGCCCCGTTTTATGACCATTCTTTCCCCCGTCGTTAAGCGAATGGCCACTGCTGTTGAGTTACTAACACGGTTGTTATGCGACTCTGGCATCCCCCTTGACTTTGCTTGTCAGAAGGTTGCAAAAGGGAATCATGTGACAGACACACACACACACACACACACACACACACACACACACTGGACACGGCAACCGTCATAAATATGAATCAGTTGCCAAGCGTTTGAATTTTGATCACGTGATCGCGGGAATGCTGCACTGGTTACAAGAGTGCAAAATAGTCAAAAATCCCTTTTAAGTGAAATTACCTATAACGACAAAGACGGTCCGAGTTGATCTGAGAACCTGACTTCTCAAAACAATCCCAAAATGTGTATTTTTCGGGCCAATATAACCGTCCTGGGCGGTTTCTATTGCTCTTTGGAGCCCGCGGAGTCAAAACTCGTGCAATTTAATTTTCCATGGTCGGACAAAGACTGGTTGTTGCCTCGGAAATGGGTCGACAAATAAAGCTATTGTTGTTCCCCAAAGATTCTTCTTCTTTTGTGGAGCCGTACGCACACAAAGACTTTTCAGAGAAGGAACAATGCTGTATTGAGTCCTCTGCACATTTGCCTATGGCTGGTGTGCAAATTGGATGGGTGTTTCACCTATCGAATGAAACCAACAGGACAAGATTCCCCGGCATTTAGTGAAACGAAGAACGGTTGCAGGAATTGGGTATGTCTACATTTAGAATAGAATAGAATAGAATAGAATAGAATAGAATAGAATAGAATAGAATAGAATAGAATAGAATAGAGTTGGAAGGGACCTTGGAGGTCTTCTAGTCCAACCCCCTGCTTAGGCAGGAAACCCTACACCACTTCAGACAAATGGTTATCCAACATCTTCTTAAAAACTTCCAGTGTTGGAGCATTCACAACTTCTGGTGGCAAGTTGTTCCACTTACTAATTGTTCTCACTGTCAGGAAACTTCTCCTTAGTTCTAGGTTGCTTCTCTCCTTGATTAGTTTCCACCCATTGCTTCTTGTCCTGCCCTCAGGTGCTTTGGAGAATAGTTTGACTCCCTCTTTTTTTGTGGCAGCCCCTGAGATATTGGAACACTGCTATCATGTCAACCCTAGTCCTTCTTTTCACTAGACTACATATATCCAGTTCCTGCAACTGTTCTTCATATGTTTTAGCCTCCAGTCCCCTAATCCTCTTTCTTGCTCTTCTCTGCACTCTTTCTAGAGTCTCAACCTTTTTTTAAAAGCGGAAATTTTGAGTAGTCCGGAGAACCGGCAAATGCCACTTCTGGCTGGCCCCAGAGTGGGATGGGAATGGAGTTTTTTGCAATATCCCTTCCCCCAGGAGTGGGGAGGGAATGGGGATTTTGCAGTATCCTTCCCCTGGAGTGGGGTGGCCATGGAGATTTTGCAGTTTCCTTCCCCTGCCACGCCCACAGAACCGGTAGGGGCAAAAATTTAGATTTCACCCCTGTCAGGGAGGTAAATTAATTTAATGCAGTATTTCTCTTTAAGAAAGACGCATGAACTTCAACTCCCAGAATTCTCAGCGTGCCGGCTTATGGAATTCTGGGAGTTGAAGTCCACCTGTTTTACAAGTCCCCAAGATTAAGAAACACTGGTTTAATGGCTGTCGGCCCCATCACTTTCTCAACACCTGACTGGCATCAAAACTTGGTCACCCCATAGATAGATGTCCTGCATGATAATCCATCCCTACCGAATTACAATTTCCAGCCACTGCAGCCAGAAATGGCCATATATTAAAAATGTCGGGTGTGGTAGATCTAATGAAGGGAGTCATGAAGAGTGATCCGCTTTGGAGAAGCCCTTTAGCCTGGCACAAAATGTTCTTCCTTATGTGA